TGATTTGGAAATTAGCTGATGATCAACGAAATGCAGCTCAAATCTGTTGCTTTTGGTGGCGTGCAATCCATTAAATCTGCATACGCGGGAGTTTAAGATCGGATTCATATCCGTTTTGCAAAAACACATTTATGTGGCCAGGTGTAAATGGAATCGGTACTTATTATCCGGATAACTTATCTGGATACAGATCGCATTTTAATACCAGGTGTAAATGGGGTCTTAGGGTCAAATGAGACTCAGATATATGTATATATATCAGGCGCCTCCTAGTGGTCTAACCCTAACCCTACTCCAGACCTAAACCTACCATAACCGAAGCGTCTCATTTGACGCTAAAGGGTGCCATGTGTGTTGGATGTCTACGCTTTGGCAAAAATGTCGGATATGATGTCTTGGGATGAGAATGCGTTGAAATATCAATGCAGTGCATTGCAACCTTCGTTAAAAAAAGAATCATCTCTGCAGGGTGTTTGCGATCGCTGCATCTAAGAGTTCTGCTGCTGCCCGCGAGACATTTTGAAGAGTGAGTGGAGGAGAGACAGGCCGAGTGGATGTGTGCGGGACAATCTCCCCAGTCAGTGCCTCAGCTCTGGCCCTGCCCCAGCAGGCCTGCTCTCTCTGAGCACTAAGCCATTCACATGCATCATCTGCTCTCCTCTGCCAGGACGCTTGTTTGTTTTTTTTCTTTGCCTTGGGAAATTTGCAGAAGTAGGAAAGCAGTTCAACTTGAAGCATCTGTTGTTTGGTTTTCGACTTGAAAACGTATACTGCTGCTTAAAGAGTTTGATTAAAAATATATATATATAGAGTCTGTGCATATATTATTTTATGGCAACTGAAAAGACTCCTAAGGAATTATAATAATTTAAATAGCTGCAGGCTATTTATGATTGGCATGCGGTGTAGCATCATTAATATGGTACGTTTGCTCAGGTGGGAGTATTGGCTATATATTTCAAAATGTCTATGAGTGTGACTCATCTAATCAGAGTCAGAACTGTCTGTTTTATAACATCATTTTTCTCATGCAGACTGAATTAGAAGAGTTGTTGCAGAGAAAGGTCTATGTTTTTGCGAAAGATTATGAAAACAAACCTTTTTTTCTTTGTAATAGTGTGCAATGATGAATCAAGCACAATAAGACTAGGGACATTTTTATGGAAAGTCATTAGGGTCTGTTTCATGTCGTCTTCAAAGAGAACAGACAGACTGAGTGATGAGTCACCAACACAAGGAAAACCTGCATTCTGATGTTAGTAAGGGCAAAAATCCCTCGAAATTGACAAATGTTGCTTAGGAGGATGTTATTGAATTATTAATTGCTGCTATGTGTAAGGAGGGGATATTGCAGGGCTTCAGATTTTGAAAAGTCGTGAATGAGTTTTATTAACCTTCAGAGACCCTGTGGAGTGAAGAAAGAAAGAAAAAAAAGCTCAAATTTGATGTTAGAATTAAATATGCCTTAAACCTGCATAGGACTTTATTAGTATTAAATAAATCTAAATAATTGATTTAAATATATCAAAGGATTAAATAATTTTAATTACATTTTAATAATTATTTAAATAAAACATTAAGTAATTGTAATTAAATATATTAATTAAAAATATTTTATTCATTTTAAAGTCCCAGTCTACTCTGCTCTGAGGATCCAGTCTGTTGTGATTGGTCTGCTATGATTAGTCAGATGACTCAGTCTGTTGTGATTGGTCTACTCTGCTCTGATCGGTCAGATGGCTCAGTCTGTTGTGATTGGCCCAGTCTGTTGTGGTTGGTCTACTCTGCTCTGATTGGTCAGATGACTCAGTCTGTTGTGATTGGTCTACTCTGCTCTGATTGGTCAGATGACCCAGTCTGTTGTGATTGGTCTTCTCTACTCTGATTGGTCAGATGGATAAGTCTGTTGTGATTGGTCTACTCTGCTCTGATTGGTCAGTTGGCTCAGTCTGATGTGATTGCTCTACTCTGCTCTGATTGGTCAGTTGGCTCAGTCTGATGTGATTGCTCTGCTCTGCTCTGATTGGTCAGATGACCCAGTCTGTTGTGATTGGTCTACTCTGCTCTAATTGGTCAGTTGGCTCAGTCTGATGTGATTGGTCTACTCTGCTCTGATTGGTCAGATGGCTAAGTCTATTGTGATTGGTCTTCTCTGCTCTGATTGGTCAGTTGGCTCAGTCTGATGTGATTGGTCTTCTCTGCTCTGATTGGTCAGTTGGCTCAGTCTGATGTGATTGGTCTACTCTGCTCTGATTGGTCAGTTGGCTCAGTCTGTTATGATTGGTCTTCTCTGCTCTGATTGGTCAGATGACCCAGTTGGTTGTGATTGGTCTTCTCTGCTCTGATTGGTCAGATGGCTCAGTCTGTTGTGATTTGTCTACTCTGGTCTGATTGGTCAGATGGCCCAGTTTGTTGTGATAGGTCTACTTTGCTCTGATTGGTCAGATGGCTCAGTCTATTGTGATTGGTCTACTCTGCTCTGATTGGTCAGATGACCCAGTCTGTTTTGATTGGTCTACTCTGCTCTGATTGGTCAGATGACCCAATCTGTTTTGATTGGTCTACTCTAGTCTGTTCTGATTGGTCTGTTGGCTCAGTCTGTTGTAATTGATCACTCTGCTCTGATTGGTTAGATGGCCCAGTCTGTTGTTATTGGTCCACCGCTTACAGTGGATGTCGGAAACAAAATGCCTAGTACCATATCTGAATTTGAGCACCGGATCTTCCAATGCCATCAGTTTTTCTGTATCAACAGTGTGTGAGTCCTCATCCTTTCGAAGTACACGCAAAAATGATTTGCTTTTGCTGCTCTGAAAACAGCGTCTTCTCAACATGTTGACAACAAAAAAAAAAATAATCTTCCAGGCCTCAGCAACAACAGTGTTTGAGGGGAAAAAAAGACATTGTTCCTGCAGCCAGTGGCTGGTATTATGCAACTTTTATACATTATTACCAGGTATGTAAGATTAAGTGAGACTGGACTTACTGACAGCTTGTTTCCACAGTTCAGAATCCTTTCTTTTTTATAATAATAAAATAATATTCATTACATTTCTATAGCGCCTTTCTGGACACTCAAAGTGCTTCACATAGAGGGGGAATCTCCTCAACCACCACCAATGTGCAGGATCCACCTGGATGATGCGACGGCAGCCATATTGCGCCAGAACGCGCCCACCACACACCAGCTTACTGGTTTAGAGGAGACAGAGAGATGAAGCCAATTGGTATATATCTATGGGGATGATTCGGAGGCCATGATGGACAGAGGCCACTGGGCAAATTTGGCCAGGATGCCGGGGTTTTAGGAGACATTAGCTTTATTTGTCATGCGCTTTGATCTTTAAAGCTTTGTAGACCTTTTACATTCATAGACAGCTATATTACACACTGAATAAAAGGTAATATTAAACTCCCTTAGACGTTAGATGTGTTATTCTATAGACTTTGGTAAACAGAGCTTTAAACAAATGCTGCTGTCATACTGAGATATAAAATGCTCCTCTCAGTACATCAAGATCCTCTTTTACACTCTAACAAGTCATTGTCATCGTGGATGGGAAGAAGATGCGCTGTGTCTATTTTCATTGGCCAGCATTTGCTGCCATGGCAACCTGCTCTTCTGTATGTATGTGAGCGCCATATGGGTCATGCTGCTTATCTGAGGCTCAGCAGAAAGAGAACCTGCTCTGCATCCTCGCTGTGGCTTCAGACTTGCTGTGATTCATTATGAATGTATAATGGCCAGAGTTCAATACACCACATTCACAGGGGATCATGAAAGTGTTTTCATGGCCGTGAATGTATGTGACCTGGAGGGGGTTGGGGGCGGAGTTGACCATCCACTAATTTCTGAAAAGTTTATCTCTTCAGCTTGAATTGCCAGTTACAGTATCTAGGGAATGTTGGTTTCTTGTTCTTATGATATTAATTACAGTATTCAATGCAAGATACTGGCCTGGTGTCAAATGCCTGGTGACAGGGCAGAACCAGTGGTAATCATGTCTTTTTTTTTAATTATTATTATTAAAATTCAGGGACTCTAGATCAGATGTTTTATATTGTAGAGAGAAATTTTTCAGCAGTAAATTTATTATATTTTAAAAAAAATTGTATAACTGCAATACAACTCAAATTCATTATCACATGTTTTGAGGTTGCAGTCAAAATCCACTCAAAAATGTGTGTGTTTAGGCATAAATGTCTTAAAGGTGCTGCATTTTGTCTTATCCTGAATTACTACGCTACACCTATAACAAAAGTGTTTATATTTAGACTATTTTAGACTGGTATGGGTTGAACTACTGCGGAGTAGCACAGTACCTGCGTGACTCGTCATAGACACAAACAGAGAAAAGTAGTTCCGGCTACAATGTTCTTCCGCAAGACTCATGCATGTAGTTTCAGCCCGTTTTCATCCCAAGGCGTCATATACTGACAACGCATTCTCATCCATAGTGACGCTTTTGACAATGCATAAACATCCAACGCACATGGCACCCTTTTAGCTTAAATATAACACGCTTTGGTTATGGGTAGGTTTAGGTCTGGGGTAGGGTTAGGGTTAGACCACTAGGAGGCGCCTATCTGCGTCTTATATTGATGCTAAAGGGTGCCATATGTGCATTGGATGAATACGCATTCTCAAAAGCGTCAGTATCACCCAGTTCTCATCCCAATTTGTCATATACTGACGCTTTTGCCAATGTGTATACATCCAACGCACATGGCACCCTTTAGCGTCAATATGAGACGCAGAAGGCGCCTCCTAGTGGTCTAACCCTAACCCTACCCCAGACCTAAACCTACCCATAACCGGCGTGTGTTATATTGACGCTAAAGGGTGCCATGTGCGTTGGATGTATATGCATCACTATATGACGCCCTAGGATGAGAATGTGATGAAAATGCTTACAATTATTCGGAGGTGCTCCCATAGCTAAAATATTCAACCTCTTGCTCGTGCAATACCTAAATGTCTGTTTTCTATAATATTACAGGGCTGAAAAAACAGAGGTACTGAGTGAAGACCTGCTACAGGTGAGACTAAATCTGTACTGAGATCAGTGTGAACACAACCGCACACATACTGCATTTACTTATGCTCTAATCTACACTGTTGTAACGTAGTCTACACTCTTATCGTGTTTGTATGACGTGCTTTGCATTCAGGTGGAGAAGCGTTTAGACCTGGTAAAGCAGGTCTCTCATAGCACACATAAGAAGCTGACGGCCTGTCTGCAGGGACAACAAGGCGCCGATTTAGAAAAGAGATCAGTCAAATCGCCCGCGGTACGCCAGTTCTTACACCTCAGTTCACTTACTTCTGTTTTCTGCACTGCAAATGTTTACTCTCATACCAATTTGATTGTGATTTTTCCCTCAACAGAAGAAGTTGCCCCTGACGACACTTGCTCAATGTATGGTGGAGGGAGCAGCTGTGTTAGGAGACGACTCTCTTTTTGGGTGAGAGCTCACTTACATTAAGTACTTGCCTTTTGACCTCTAACTAAATTCTCAAACTGTTTCTCTTGGGCTGCATCCTAATTCGTTGCCATTATTAGGATTAATGCATCCAGAATCATTATTGCACTGAATGGGCATCAATGGAGAAGATGCTTTGAAATCCACTTTGCTTAAAAGTGATTTTCTTGCTCAGTATTTTTGTCTTGTTTTAAGTGCAAATATCTAAACATTCTTAAATCAAGAAACTTAATTGAAAAGCAAAATGACTCACGATATCACCTTTTTTTCTTAAAGACAAGAAAAATATCTGTGGGCTATGAAAATATAAGTTTATATTAGTTTTTTTCCCCACCCCATTGGCTAATTTTGTTCAGATTTTAAATATAAATTTAATTTAATTGCATTATTCAGAAACAAGAGTTGGTATCTAACAAGAAGCAGAATTACAAAGGAACCAACATTTAAATGGGAGAAATATATTTCCAGTGGGGAAAGAAAAAATAAATGCAATTCAAAGGAAAAACTATATTTTTCTATTCTTTTTTTTTTATCATACACTGCCAAATCAAATGATTTTTTTTTTTTTTTTTTACATTCAGAAAACAAGACTTGTATTTTTTGCTTTTTGTGTAAATGTTTCTTATTCTGAGAATGTTAGATATTTGTACTGGAAAACAGGACACAAATACTGAGTAAAAAATCCTAGATATTAGATGAACAGGTTCAGTATTTTATGTCCTTGAGTAAAGAAAAAAAAAAAAGAGAAAATGGAAAATGTGGGAAATTGACAGATGGGACAAAACAATGGTAGCAATACATGATGCCAAAAAAAAAAAAAAGTTGTGAAATGTTCAGATTCAGTGGAATCACTCATTAGCCTTCACTCATTTCATATGATATTTTAACAAAAATACTATTTGTATTGTAATACAGATTAAGCCTAAAATAAAATGGCTAATCAATCACTTTTTAACAACCCAAATTTAACAATTACTCAGAGCAGAACAGAAGCAATTAATCATTAGCTTTAAATAAATGACATAGCTGAATACAGATTCAGTACTCATTGCACTTGAGTCTGTCGACAACAGGACAAATGAAAGAGTGAAGGAATGGTTTGTTTTAATGGCGTCCAGAGATCGTGTCGGAAGGTGACCCTTTAAATTTGAATAATTTCATATCCTTTTGCCACATATATATATATATATATATATATCATTGGCTATTTCTATTTCGCTTAAATTTATATCAGTTTTCATTATTTTTGTTCTTCAACTTATTTTATTTCAGTAACATAAAACATATAATGCAATGCAATACAGAGATGATGGAGAGATCCAAATAAACGTTCCTCAAAAGTCTGATGAAGCATACTGTATTTAATACTCACGTTTGATTTTTCTAAAGAAGTGATGTGTGGATAATCAAGTAAACCTAAGCTGCTCAGTTAGCAACTTAGTTGCTAAAATCAGTTTTTTTATTTTTATTTCAGCTTTATCTCAGTGACCAAAAGTGATTTTTAAGTGTTTTAGTTTTAATATTAGTTAACACTAACAACACTGTGCCAGGGCAATATCTCCACAAAATACACCATATACCACAAAATTATAATTGGTCGTTTTCGCGGATCCGTGTGAATAGGGATCTTTTTGACAATGGTGTCGTCTGTGTGTGGAAAACTCTCCGTTTTAAGCATACCGTTGTTATGGAAATGTACACTTACACTCAATTGTCTCTACACTCCAGCACAATAGGTGGCAGCATGCATCTACTTAAGCTGATTTGCAACCTGCATTTAAAAACGAAGAAAGATGTTTTTTGCAGCCAGGTCACAGTTATAGCACCTACACATGGGTTAGGGATCTAGGGAGCCTTGACTCCTTTGGTTTGTCTTCATAGTTTGAGAGTTTGGTTTCTAAACGTCTCTTGTCATGCAACCTGTATTGGTTTGCATGTGGATAGTTTATATGAAGGGACAGATAAGACGGCACCTATTTACCACATTGTATGATTGGGCACACACACTTTGACATCAACATCAAAAGATATGGCTAGTGTTTAATGCTCACATCCAACTTCTTGAGAGCTTTCGTGATATTCACTAAGAGGTTTGTGAATGAACCAGGATGCAGTCTTGATTCCGTTGACTAGTTTGCCTGACTGGTGGTCTTTCTGCAGTAAGATGCTGAACCTTTGTGGCGAAACGGAAGAGAAGTTGGCTCAAGAGCTGCTCGTCTTTGAGTTACAGATTGAAAGAGATGTTGTGGAGCCTCTGTATATGCTGGCTGAGGTGAGCATGTTTTTTATTTTTTACCCATTTCAATGTTATGCTGAGGTCCACTTCTTGCATACTTTGTCCACAATCATATAATGCAAAGCAATACAGTCAAATAAGTGTTCATGTTGAAATATTGCTAGCAATGTAAAAGTTATTCTTATGTTTAGTTCATAAAAATCAGATTTGACAGCTAAAAGACCATGAACCAAGTCTGTCAGATGACAGAAGGCATGTACTAGATTGTTCACAACAGGTTTCATCATTTAAAAGTGTCTTACAGAATGCCTTACAACCTCAATGCTTTCACTCTTTCGTGCATGAAGGCCATGTTTTTATTTCTCACATGTGCACGGTTTTATGATTAGGTGGAAATTCCGAACATTCAGAAACAGCGAAAACATTTAGCCAAACTTGTCCTGGACATGGATTCTGCAAGGACACGGTATGAACTCTATTGTGGTTGATTCCTGAGATTTGATTCTTCCACATTACCCACATTGTGCTCTGACGGGGTCATTTGTCCTCCTGGGCTGTAGGTGGCAACAGTCATCCAAGTCTTCAAGTCACCCTAGTAATGTGCAGCAGGGCGGTGCCAAGTCTGATGCCCTGAGAGAGGAAATGGAGGAGACGGCCAATCGGATGGAGATCTGCAGGGTGACGATTTCTCTCACTCTTTCTTCTGCATTTGAAGGCCCACTGAATTGCCTTGGAACGCACAGCTTTGTATGATGTGTTGACGTAATTTACGCTGAAACAGGAAGGCGGGACATATTAAATGAATCCTCCCCCTTTTCAAAAACCCATATTGCTCCATGACGTGTCAACGGTCGCTTTGGCCAGGTGGCATTTATAGCATGGGGGTGGGACACTTTAGATTCTAGAGAGTATTTAATAGAGTGCCGAAGTGATGACGTTACTTTGTAGGACAAATCGGAAGCTAGTGGCGCATGGGTTCCCTCAAACCGAAAAGCTATGCATTTTCCTCATAGACTTTTGGAAAATCGCAAAAAATAAGATCTGTGTTTAACAAAGAGTTGTGACCCTTGCACGTTTTGTCTATCAAGATAATCTTTACAAGTTAATCCAAAATTTATACATTTTGAAGCCTATATAAAGTTTTTAAAAAACACAAAAAAAACCCAATAAAGTTAAAAAAAAAACACAACCAGGTTATTGTGTGTTGTATGTCATGGATCAAAACTTGAAAATATTTAGAGGATTTGTTCACCACAGACCTTATTTCAGGCGATTTACTGTAGCAAAAACCCATTCAAAAATTCCATAGACTTTAGAACGAGTGCTAAAATGCTAACTCACTTCCCCATTTTGGCCTACAGAGTGACGTCGTAACTTCGGGACTCTATTGGACTGAAGAAAATCAAATGCTCTCTAGAATCTAAAGTGTCCCGCCCCCTATGCTATAAATGCCACCTAGCCAAAGCAACCATTGACACGGCACAGAGAAATATGGGTTGGGTATGCGTGTTCGGTTGCTCAAACGCTCAAGTTTTATTCTGTTTTCCAACCATACTTTGGTTAAGAATGAAATGGCTAGAATTTATTTACACCTCTACTATTGACTCCAACGTATCATAAGCGTTCGGATTGGCTTTCATGCCATGGTGCCAAGTATGACTTGCAGTCTGTGAGGAGTGGAAGTCTGTGATAAAAATCCCTGATCTATTTTAACAGAAGTGAGAGACTTGTCAATGTTTTGGAACACACCTGCTTATTGATAACCTTAAAGGGATACTCCACTTTTTTTTTTTTTTTTTTTTGGAAATTTGCTCATATTACAACTCCCCCAGAGTTAAACAGTTGGGTTTTTACCGTTTCCGAATCCATTCAGCCAATTTTCTGATATTTAGAAGAATATCAGTAACCAGACAGTTTCTGGTCCCATTGACTTCCATAGTATATCCTACTATGGAAGTCAATGGGACCAGAAACTGTCTGGTTACTGATATTCTTCTAAATATCAGAAAATCATCTGAATGGATTCGAAAATGGTAAAACTCAACTGTTTAACTCTGGGGGAGTTGTAAAATGAGCCTATTTCCAAAAAAAAAAAGTGGAGTATCCCTTTAAGGCTAACATGTTCATACTAAAAGCTAAAAAAAACAAATATGTTGATTTCAGGGGGCCTTTAATGAAACAATTCACTAAAAGCAAAGAAAGCTTACATACTCTACATTACTTAGTCGCCTCCTTCTCAAAATGTTTTGCTTGTTTTTTTTAGAAATGAGAAATTTCACATATTCACAATGATGTACCTGTTTCTCTCTCTGTAGGACCAGTTATCGGCGGACATGTACAACTTTGTGGCCAAAGAAATAGACTATGCAAACTACTTTCAAACGGCAAGTACCTCTGGACACTAAAGGGGAAGTGTGTACTTTTGGTCGGAATACCTTGAGAACGCTTACAACATGTGTATGTCCTCTTATTGGTCTTGCTGTAGCTCATAGAGGTTCAGGCAGAGTACCACAAGAAGTCTTTGGAGATTCTGCAGACTGTGCTGCCACAGATCAAAGCTCAACAGGGTAAGACTCTCCACTTCAGTGTCTGAACGCACAAGTTTGGTTAAGTGGTGTCTTTCAAATGCGCATGTCGATCTGCCATAAAACTTGTTTCTGTAGCTTTTAAAGGGGTGGTAAAGTATGATTTCACTTTTTCTAACTTTAGTTAGTGTGAAATGTTGCTGTTTGAGCATAAACTACATTATCAAAGTTAGACTGCTCAAAGTTCAAAGCAAAGGAAGATATTTGCTTTTAAAGAAAAGGACTGGTAGGGACTACACAACATTCCTCTAGGGTTAGTGACATCACCAACCCTAAAATGTACATAAACCCCGCCCCCGAGAACACGTGGTCCATGTTTTTGTATAAGAGTATGTTTGTGAGTCAGCTCAAACTGTAGCATCCTTCTTGTCACATGCAGTAGAAAGTCACTCTGTGTGCGTCTCACAACAGTTTCTACATGAGCGATTTATAGATTACATGACAGAATATCATAATTGAAGATGGTTAACTTCACATCAGCAAGTATAAATTCATCAACTAACCATTCAGAGACGTCCTGTTGCATTCTACATGTTGTCGCTTCTTCTCGAGTCTCTCCATCTTTGACTGACTCCGTTATAACATTAAAGGGAGAACAGTTTCTGTCATTTTATAGTGTCTGCTTGAGGTAATCGCAGCTGCTAATACACGCAAACTCTTGTAACCCCGCCCTCTTCGGCAGCTCATTTGCATTTAAAGGGCCAGACACAAAACAGTGCGTTTTTGGCAAAGCCTCAAAAAGTGACAACTTTAACATGCTATATAAAAATATCTGGGGGGTATTTTGTGCTAAAACTTCTCACACACACTCTGGGAACATCAGAGACTTATTTTACATCTTGTGAAAATGAGATTTTATCACCCCTTTAACAGATGCATTTTAACATTTATCATGATGTGTTCCAGAGGCCTGGATAGAGAAGCCATCATATGGAAAGGTCTTAGAGGAACATCTAGCCATCAGTGGCAGGGAGATTGCCTTTCCTATCGAGGCGTGCGTCACCATGCTGCTAGAATGTGGCATGGAGGAAGAGGTGCGAGACTGCTGAGAAATAACACAACTTGCCTTATGTACTGTATACACAGTTTGTCTAACAAACTGAGGGATGAGTCATAACTACTATTGTATGTGGTAATTAACTGTATTTTACAAATGCCGTTCAGAGACATTATACTGTAAATACCCCTAAATATTCACTAAGCATTTCACCTTGATTAAAGGGATAGTCCACCCAGAAATGAAAATGTTGTCATTACTTACTCTCCCTCAAGTTGTTCCAAACTGAGTTTCTTCCTTCTGTTGAACACAAAAGAAGGGATTTTAAAGATTGTTGGTAACCAGACAGTTGACCCAACCAATCGACTTCCATAGTAGGAAAAAAAATACTTGCTCCTGGAGGGGTCCTGCACAGTTTAGCTCCAACCCTAATTAAACACACTTGAACTAGCTAAACTAGGTTTTAAGGATTATTATTCTGCGTCCCAAATGGAATACTTCTCTACTATATACACTCTACACAGTGCTGGGTTGTTTGAACCCAAATTTGGGTAAAATATGGACAAACCCAAATGTTGGGTTAAAAATGCAATTTCAAATTTGAACCCAACTTCAACTTTTTTACTTTTAATTAAAATTTTTTTAATTGCATTTTTAAGCCAACCTTTGGGTTTGTCCATATTTGACCCATGTTTGGGTTGAAACAACCCAGCATTTTTTAGAGTGTAGTATGCAAAAATAGTACGGCAAAAGAGTATGTCTGAATTCATAGTATTAAAAAAACAGACCTGGAGGCACTTACTTCCAGAGTACGCATACAATGGATACGGGAGAGGATTTAAGAAGACGCGAATGACGCTGTACTGTATGTCACATGACAGTAATAACATGGCTGATATAGTACATCCGAATATCATTCATACTGTAAAGAACGCACTTTTAAAAGTACTTTTCGTGAAATAAATACATATGTAGTACCTACTCGGTATGCGATTTTTTTTTCCATTAGAAACATTCAGGCAAGTGTGTTTGGGCAGGTTGGAGCAAAACTCTACAGGACATTGGCTCTCCAGGAGCAGAACTGGACTATACTGCTGTAGGATATCCCAATTTGCATTTTAGCCTATGTGTGTCTTCAGAGTCTTCAGAGTGGTGCAGCCTACAGTGAGTGGACTATTCAGTACCTTTTTTAATCAAAAGTCCCCCATTGTGCAACACAATGTTTGAAGGGACCCAATATAGGCCATTTCCTGTATTTCTGCTGTAATCATGAAAAAGCTGCTTGTTTTCAAACCTTTTTTTAACAGAAACTGTGTGTATTACTTAATGTACAAAATAAACCAAAATTGTTTTTTTTTTTTTTTTTGTGAAATTCAGTAATTAAGAACTGAAAAATATATGTATACAGTATACACACATACACACACACACCAGCGATGAGACGACTAAACGCCTTTGAAGAGGCGACTCGACGCCTGTGAAGAGACGACTCAACGCCGGCGATATGTTATGCCCTAAATTAATAGTTTTGAATAACTAAATGTATTTTTCCATGTACATTTCTGAAATTAATCTTTGAAATAATATGTATTGTGAAAAGTGCTATACAAATACATTTGAATTGAATTGAATTGAATATATATTATAGTCACAAAAAGGATTCTTTCCTAAATTAACATGCTAAATAAACTGAAATGTATTTCTTTTATTATATTATTAATATCTCAATAACTGTTGTTGTATAGTTCTTAATTACTGAGATCACAAAAAAAGGTTTATTTTTAGGTAATAACACAGTTTCTGTTAAAAAAAGATTTGAAAACAAGCAGCTTTTTGGCATTTTGGGGCCTCAAGATTGCTAAATGAATGAATTGCAGAGCCTTTAGTGGGCTCTGGCCTCCTGATTGAGAACTCTTGCTGTCACTTCAGGGTTTATTTCGGGTGGCTCCGTCGGCCTCCAAACTGAAGAAACTGAAGGCATCACTGGACTGCGGGGTTCTTGATGTGCAGGAGTATTCAGCCGACCCACACGCCATCGCAGGTGAGCATCTGCTTCTTTCCTATTAGCTTCCAATTGTTCACTGATCTACCCGCAGTGAAATTTTAGTCGATCACAGCTAAAAAGGCTCAGACCCCACGGCAGTTCACATTAAATTCTGTCTCAGGTTAATTTGATCTCATTAGAGCGGGCCTGAAGCGTGCCCTAGTAGCCGCCAGGCAGGGGGGCACAGCTGACAGTCGCTACGTGCTGATTGTGGCTTTTGACAGCTCATTTTTCAGGCTTCCCTTTAGTATTTTAAGCAGGGACTAGCACACATCCACTCATATCCTACACCAAGTGCTGTGCTTCCCTCTTTCACTCTCTCCTTCTCTTCCACTGACCTCTTCTTCATCTGCTTTCCTCAGGGGCGTTAAAGTCTTATCTTCGTGAACTTCCCGAACCTTTAATGTCATTTGAACTCTATGATGAATGGATTCAAGCCTCAAAGTGAGTACCGACGGTCTACACCAACACAAATGCCATTACCCAACAGCATTTGCCATTTTCACTTTGATGTGAGAGTGAGACATAAGGTCTGTTTCCTAAAAAATATTGAGCTGCCTACCTGGCGGAATCAAATATGTGAGTTGTCAATTGAGCAAATGCTTACGCAAAATATATGAAGAGTTCAGATGCAAAAGCCTCTAAATGCCATTTGAAATTTTCTTCTTTAATGATGATTTTTATCAAACTTGTATATTTAAGTTCAGTAATTTCACTTAAATAACAATTAATAGGTAATTACCATTGCCATTTAAGTGAAATTACTTAACTTAAATATACAAGTTTGATAAAAATCATCATTAAAGAAGAAAATTTCAAATAACAATTTAGAGGCTTTTGCATCTGAACTCTTCATATTTAGTAAGTACAGTACACTCTAAAAAATGCTGGGTTGTTTTAACCCAACTTTGGCGCAAATATGGACAAACCCAGCCATTGGGTAACATTTTTTTAATTACATTTTTAACCCAACGTTTGGGTTTGTCCATATTTGACCCAAAGTTGAGTTAAAACAACCCTGCATTTTTAGAGTGTAAAGTATATTTTATGTAGAAATTATATTAATATCAAAGAATAAGTTGTATGCTTGTAAGTTTACTATTTCAGAGTTTTACAGAAGAATATTTCCTACCAAGAAAACTGCCAATTTCATACATTTTACACAGCATATTTGAAAAAACAAAACAAAAAACATACTTGTATGTTAAGCATACTTAAACAAGTATTAAAGCATACTTGTGCGTTTTCTTTTAGTGAACTTAACATCACACTTACAGTTTACTCATACCGTGGAAAAGCAACCCAATATAAATATGTTTCTGATTAGGATGAAAATATGTGTCTAAAACTTGAACATACAGCAGTTTATCCAAATTCTGTATTAATGCATCTCTCCTTATGGCCGTTCTGCAGTATTCAAGATATGGACAAAAGGCTTCAAGCACTGTTGGGTACATGTGAGAAACTACCATCAGACAATTTGAACAACTTCAGGTTTGTGGTGCTTATTTGCTTATGATTTTTTTTATTTATGACAAGGTTTTTGTCTTTAAATGAGTCATGAATGCAACAGCTCATTACAGAGAGGAGTGTCAAATCTCTGTCATATCATGAGTGATGTGGCAATTCCTTAACTGTCAGGAAGTGTGTGTTTTTCTGCTTATTAAGAGTTCATTAGCCCTACTGAGAATATTTTTTGAGTTTTGGAAATATCATTTAGTCTAAACGGTTTAATGTGCCAACTGTATAGATCAGCCTTTCATTTTGCCCTGATTGATGTGGCTAAATACAGCTAAGCTAAGAACCACAGTAATGAATATTATATCATTATCATATAGGAATAAATTCAAACAAAGCTACTATTTAAAATAAGGAGGCCTTATTTGTTATGCGTTTCCTTTACAATGCCACTGTCAAATTCTGTGAATATTTGGCACGTCTTTACTTCTAACCCACATGACAAGGTGTCCTGATATAGGCTGTGGGTCACTGCTGTTTGACTGCACCTGTCTTGAGTCAGACCTACTGAAATATTGATAACATATAGCAACAGGAATAGCAAGTGTATGAGTAAATGCCAGGGCTAGAACCTTTTGTCAAACTGAGATTTAAACTGAAACTGTTTTTTTTTTTCCTAAACAGATATCTAATCAAATTCTTAGCCAAACTCACAGAGTATCAGGACGCTAATAAAATGACACCAGGTAACATTGCAATAGTTCTTGGACCCAATCTTCTGTGGACACATTCAGAAGGGTGAGTGCATGTCCTATGTTTGGCTTTCTTCTCTCATTTATGTGGATAGCAGCAAATTCACAAAGCAATTCAGTTAAAAAAATTAAATTCTGTCATTGCTTACAGTGCATACATATGACTTTGTTACTTTTCTTATGTGGAGCACGGTGTTGTTATTGTTAAAGGGGTCATCGGATGCAAAATTCACTTTTATATGGTGTTTGCCTACAGTAAATGTGTCTTTGCAGTGTGTGAACACAACCAGGTTGCTCATTATCATTTAAAGAGACATGCACCGAAACAGGTCACTGTGAACAAAGCTGTTTTTGAGGAGGTAAAAGGGGTGTTGTTTTACACAACCATTGAGGAATTTTAACCAAAGTATATTACAAACTTCACATGAACACCCTAAAGAATCATACCAACTTGTGGAAAATACGCATTTGATGACTCCTTTAACTAACACTATTAAATATTTTCTTTAAAGTGCCCCTACCTTTTTTCATATTATCTTACATGTAGCGTAATGTAGCTGTATGCAGACATCCAACCCCGCAAAAACTAATTTCCGAGAGGTAGAGCACCCCTCTGCCCCCTTAAAAAGTAAAATATACACACTATACTGCATTGTATTATATTAGATTTAATATAAATCTATATTAGATTTATATTAGAGATAATTATATTAGACTTGGTGTAAGCCGCTTAAAACGGGTTCGTTCATTCAATACTATTTGTCAACTAGGTGAAAATGATGTAGGCTAGATTGTCATGAAATAAGAAGGGAGTCTCGATGAACTTTAAACAGAAGAGGTCACAGGAGACGCATTTGAAATGTGTGTAAACGATAATGAAATGAAAACTAAAAATGTCAGTTCAAAATATGAATAAATACTACAATAGTACATCAATTATTTTAAAATGACACTGCAGAACGAATGAGGAAGCCATGCAACAACCATTCATAGTGACCACGCCTATCAAGCTTCAAGAACGACATCAATACACCACCCATTAAAGTAGTTAATATGGCTAAATAAGTCATGTTAAAGCTTTCTGAGTAAAACAGAGTGACATTCATGTTTTTTTGGAGCTCTACAGATGTAGTCACCATGAATTGTTCAAAATGTAACTCTTTGTGTTCCACAAAAGAAAAAAAAGTCATATAGGTTTGGATCGACATGAATGAATGACATTTTTGGGTAAACTATTTCTTGAATGTTGTTTTATATTGTGAAATGTGTAGATCAAATGGGTCATTGTTCTTCACAGAAACATGACGGAAATGATGACCACCGTGTCCCTGCAAATCGTTGGCATCATTGAGCCGATCATCCAGCATGCTGACTGGTTCTTCCCTGGAGGTTAGATAGAAAGAGTTGTGAAAGCATATTCGCACATACCCACGAGCGTGTTCTCCAGTGAGATTTGGACTAATTTGTCTTTGCTATTCTTAGATATTGAGTTCAACCTGACAGGCAGCTATGGCAGCCCGGTCCACACCAACCACAACTCCAACTACAGCTCCATGCCCTCGCCAGATATGGACCAATCAGATCGCAAGCAGCAGCACGAGCAGAGCCGACGCCCACTCAGTGTTGCTACTGACAACATGATGCTTGAATTCTACAAGAAGGATGGGTAGGTTGTTCTGCGCTCTTGTCGGCCTCCTCCATCTCTTCATTTTTCATTTCCCCTCCCACTCGCTTCCATTACCTTCTCATACCAGCCTTACTTCTTAAAGGGACAGTTCACCCAAAAATGAAGATTCTGTCATCATTTACTTACCCTCATGTCAATGCAAATCTGTTTGACTTATGTTTTCTTCCATGAAACAAAAGGTACATTTTTGAAGAATATACTGACTAGCAGGGGTGGACAGTGAATCAAAATGAAACCAAAATCGCGATACGGCTGATTTAATTAAATAAATGCACTGCGTGTTTCAGAGTAATGCTGCTCCACACAAATTTTGTAACTGTATAACAAAGTTATTTGGACCATTTAGGATGTTTTTTTTAAATAATTTTAGAGCTTGACCTCATCCAGATTCACCTTAATTATATAGAGAAGAGTGGCCAGGATGTTCACCTTTAATGTTCCATTAAAGAAAGTAGTCACATGGGTTTGGATGAGAATGGATTTGGAGTGTAAACTATCCCTTTAAATTAAACACTGCCCTATTATCATTGCACTAACTCCCCATTACCGTCAGGGTTAGATAGTGCCGCTTAAACCAATTAGAAGTGGCGGATGAGACAGCGGCAGATAGCTAAAGTGTTCAGCGAGTAATTCACTTAGACTGGGACGTCAGTCATGTCGTTATCCAGAAACCTTTCTGTCTCATTTGTTCTCAATTGGAGTTGAACTCCAGGAACATCTCCGCGACTCCCTCGAATAGAGCTGGTCTCGGGCTGATGGGCTGCCGCGGTCTCTATGGTTACGTGGATGGAGTGTTGAAGGAGGGCCGCAGCTCCCTTATCATTCACTGAGGGGGCTGGATTTCTGCCTCTATCGACAGACACGTGGCAGATGTGCCAGGCTCTGACTCATGCCACCTGCAATGCTCCAGCAGGTGGAAAAATACCGCATACGGAGGAGGAGATCCAAACCTCTGTTAGTCAGAGTCCTACTCCAGACCTCCTTACAGAAAATACTGGCAAACATTTGGCAAACATGGCAATTTACCACATAATATTCACTGCAGAGATGTGTCAAAACGTTATTAGGGCTGTCAAACGATTAATCGCGATTAATCGCATCCAAAATAAAAGTTTGTGTTTACATAATATATGTGGGTGCACTGTGTATAATTATTTTGTGTATATATAAATACACACACATGTATGTATATATTCAAGAAATATTTTCATGTATATAGATTTATATATAATTTAAATTATGTATAAATATAAACATTTTATATATAAATAAAAAAAAAAATCTTAAATATACATGCATGTGTGTGTGTGTATTTATATATATATACACAAAATAATTATACACAGAGCACCCACATATATTATGTAAACACAAACTTTTATTTTGGATGCGATTAATCGCGATTAATCGTTTGACAGCCCTATTATATTGATATATATATTTATTTATTTTTTACACTGCGTAATTTGACACCTTAAGGTAACTAAGTTGAATCTGACCTAAATTATTAGCACTTTAAAATACTTACAATCTGACAGAAGACTTCCCCATGGTCTGTTCTGGCTCAAAGACATAAATCAGTGCCCCAGGAGGCAGACTTTGCTATAAAAATAGAAGTCAGTTTGTGTTTACAGTTCGTTTCTCTATCAGTATTAGTACTCTTATAAATACTCAATATAAACTAAAGTACAAATATCGAAACGTTTTTCAAATCAAGGCAATATCAGCGATGGTTCTGGTGTCGGAGAAGCTTTTCGGGTGGTCACAAAGCAGAATCTTTTCCGTTTTCTGTTTAAATGTGAATGAAAGTCTAAATTTAATCTTTCATCTGCTCAATTTGATATTTTTTTACCGTGTTTTACATAGATTTTCGGTGGAATAACCGAAATCTCTCCGGTTTTATTAAATTGATCATTTTGTTTTAAAGATGTACAACATGATGGTGAGTAACTGATGACCAAAAAAATAATTTTGTGTGAACTGTCCTTTTAATCCCACCTGAAAAGTGCTTATGTGTAACCCTGACTTTCCAAGGTCTACTATTCAGCAAATCAGTTAATGTAGGCTAATTATTATTCACAATTCAAGCCACATAGGCACAGTTCATTGATGGAAACTTCATTAGTAATCAAGATGAAAACAGTGAGAGAGGAGAGATATACTATATATTTTTCAAAATGATGTATAATTACAAAACAATTAAGGATGCTGATCAAGCGTATTTTAGGACTGATTTGTTTTGTTAAAGCAGAGGATATGTGTCTAATTATTTATGTCCACAGCTCCCGGGGTAAAGGCAATTACATTAAATGAGGCTTAATGGTGTCGCAGCAGGAAAGAGTGCCAGCTGCTCATTTAGACTGACATGTTCTCACCTCTGGACCGCCCTGATCCACCAAACACTGTGAAACTACACATGGCCTCCACTGCACTCTACATTGCTCATCGTTCATCAGTCATTCCTTGTCTCCATGTCAATTCCTTGTTCTAGACGTGTAAACACACTGCGCTTCCTCTAAAATCATTGTTTTATCTTCACTTAATGCAGCATTAGGAAAATTCAAAGGTATTGTCCACCACATTTTCTGTAATACTGTGAGCTTTCTTTGTTTTTGGTCCAAATTTATATTGTGTTTTAACTAGAACATTTAAATTGTACATTGCACTTGATGCAATGTACATATTGTGTGCGTAGTGTACATGCTTTTGATTGTATTTATATTTTTAAACTACCTGCATGTAATTACATCTGTAGTTGATTTTTGTAATTACATCATTGATTACACTGTTGTCCCTTCCCCTAGGCCGTGTGTCCATCAAAGCGTTTTTTTTTTTTTCTTTTCTTGAGGTTAGCGTATTTTTCCAATTGTTTTCAATGGGACAGTTCAACAGTTCAATGAGTTTTTCCAAACCTGTATGAATTTTTTTCCTCTGCTGAACACAAAGAAAAAGAAGAAATAAACTCATACAGGTTTGGAACAACTTGAGGGTGAGTTAATGATGACAGAATTTTCATTTTTGGGCGAACAATCCTTTACGTCATTATTGCAAATGTTTGGGGTCAGTAATTATTTTTAAAGAATGAATTAAATTGATCAAAAAATTAAAGACATTATAATGTTACAATATGTAACATTTCAACTCTCTATTCTTCAAACAATCCTGAAAAATTGTATTACAGTTTCCAAAAAAAAAAAAAGAAAGAAATAACTTGACTTTCAACATTGGTGATAAAAATAATTGTTTCTTGAGCATCAAATCATCATATTAGAATGAAATCTGAAGGATCATTTGAAGACTGTAGTAATGATGCTGAAAATTATTAAATTTAACAACTTTGATTATTAAATTAAATTATTTTAATAATACTTAACAATATAACTGTTTTTACTGCACTTGTTTTATCAAATAAATTCAGCCTTGGTGAACACACGTCTTCTTTCAAAAGCATTAAAAGAATCTTACCAACCCCAAACTTTTAAACAATTTTGAATACAGTATGAATCAAAATAAAAATATTTTACATTATACACTCTCCTAAAGGATTATTAGGAACACTTGTTCAATTACTCATTAATGCAATTATCTAAGCGACCAATCACTTGATTTGATTTGATTTAATTTACTTTATTAATCCCTGAGGGGACATTTATATATACACACAATGACAACAACAAGTCTTGTTCTCAAATATCAATTTTTCAAAGCATTATGACTATGATTATATATGAAGAGTTCAGATGCAAAAAAAAAAAAAAATCTTCTAGAATGTTCATTTTTATCAAGCTTGTATATTTAAGTTCAGTATTTGCAATTTAAGTGAAATTACTGAAATTGAATATATAAGCTTGATAAAAATGACCATTTTAGAAGAAAATTTCAAATGACACTTAGAGGCTTTTGCATCTGAACTCTTCATATATGACCATCATCTGTATTATCTTATATAACACTGATTATCAAATCTAATTGCAGTTGGGGGAAAAAAGACTTGGATAAATTAAATCTTGAGCTGTGAGTACTCACAAGAGCTTGAGATATTTCATTAAGAGGATGACAGTCATGATTAATTATAAGAGAAAGTTTCCCAATCCTTTTATCCCGCATTATCTCCTCTTAAGTAGGCAACACGCTCCTCACGACAGAGCCTGCCTTCTTTAGTTCTTTAATAAGTTCATTTAACCTAATTCTGAGATTCCTTGGGGTACGTCAGGTACTTTTAAGTCGCCTTAACAAATGAATACGACTCTGACTCTTCCAGACCAGTTGAGTTTGTTCAGATATACACACGCAAATACTTGTAAGTTACAATCTCAACTTCTGACTCTCTTAAATTTACTGGTACCGCTTTCTAACGAAGTCTACTAAAATCAACCACTATTTCCTTCATCTTAGTAGCATTTAGCTTGGGACTGTTTTTATCACACCAGTCCACAAAACAGACAAAAAATGGCAGTTGCTTCAATGCATTTAGGGGTGTGGTCCTGGACAATCTCCTGAACTCCAAACTGAATGTCAGAATGGGGTTTATGTCTGACAGTCCTGTGGGCGAAGATGCCTTGTTGATGCTAGAGGTCAGAGGAGAATGGGCCGACTGATTCAAGCTGATAGAAGAGCAACTTTGACTGAAATAACCACTCGTTACAACCGAGGTATGCAGCAAAGCATTTGTAAAGCCGCAACATGCACAACCTTGAGGGCGGATGGGCTAGAGAAGACCCCACCGGGTACCACTCATCTCCACTACAAATAGGAAAAAGAGGCTACAATTTGCAAGAGCTCACCAAAATTGTACAGTTGAAGACTGAAAACATGTTGCCTGGTCTGATGAGTCTCGATTTCTGTTGAGACATTCAGATGGTAGAGTCAGAATTTGGCGTAAACAGAATGAGAACATGGATCCATCATGCCTTGTTACCACTGTGCAGGCTGGTGGTGGTGGTGTAATGGTGTGGGGGATGTTTTCTTGGCACACTTTAGGCCCCTTAGTGCCAATTGGGCATCATTTAAATGCCACGGCCTACTTGAGCATTGTTTCTGACCATGTCCATCCATTCCCTTTATGGCCACAATGTACCCATCCTCTGAAGGCTACTTCCAGCAGGATAATGCACCATGTCACAAAGCTCAAATCATTTCAAATTGGTTTCTTGAACATGACAATGAGTTCACTGTACTAAAATGGCCCCCACAGTCACCAGATCTCAACCCAGTAGGGCATCTTTGGGATGTGGTGGAATGGGAGCTTCGTGCCCTGGATGTGCATCCCACAAATCTCCTTCAACTGCAAGTTGCTATCCTATCAATATTGGCCAACATTTCTAAAGAATGCTTTCAGCACCTTGTTGAATCAATGCTATGTAGAATTAAGGCAGTTCTGAAGGTGAAAGGGGGTCAAACACATAATTAATATGGTGTTCCTAATAATCCTTTAGGTGAGTGTATATTGTAATAATAACAGTAATTATTGTTAAATTACATAAATACATAAATTAGTAAATGACAATCAATGTTTCTTTTTATAAGAATATACTGTACATGATCATAATTGAGGGTTGATCACATCTGGCATCTGTAATCAATGACAATATTTTTAATATATGTTCCAGAAATACTTTGTACTTCACTTGTTAAGAGGGTTAGCAGTTCTGTGCAGTGCATCTAGATGTTGTGTTATGTTTATGTCTGACTCAGTTGTGGTCTTTCTGTGGGCAGTGTGGGTGTCAGAGTGATGGACACATCGTGGGTGAAGGGCAAAAGTACCTCTACGCTGTCCCGCAAATCCTCGTCCACGCCTCCCAGCGCACAACCGCCCGGCTCTCCTGCGGACACCCTGATCTCTGAACAGCCCGGTGAGCTGGCCACATCTCCAATCCCCACCCCCCCTCCTGGAGACAGGGGCAGGTAAAAAAAAAAACAACAACACGTGATCCTCCACCTGTTTTCCATTGACATTTCAATGTACTGTATATGCATTTCACAGTAGAATTAACGTGTGACATCATTGTTTTCCATTCAGCGATTAACTCTCTTGCTTTCCCTGCATTTGTGTATTAATGACATTTCCTCTGCTTTTTCATGCTTTCCTCGTTCAACTTTCCGTTTTATTTTTGAATCGCTGCGTCTATATAAATAGAAGTCCTTTCTTTTTTTCTAGCAGTCAGTATGACCGTGTACACACTGCAGTTGAAGACAGTTGCCAGTCCTTTTCTGTACACACACAGTTCAGTTGTTTTGATAACTGAATTTATCACATTGACATTTACATCAACAACTAGGTATTGTAATGTACAGTAATTAAGGCAAGACACTACAGGCAACTATTTTGTTTGTTTGTTTAAAAGTGCCATCTGTAATAAATGAGGTAAAAATATCCAAAAAATGAGCTACACGCAACAAAAGAATGAGAAGAAATAAGTGCAATGATGTAATTAAAAAACTGACAAGTTTTAGTGCTGCCGAGATATAAACCTAAATTAGCATGCTAAATTACTAGCCCCGGCCCGGCAGGTGTCGTAATACCAGTTCCGGCCATGGGAGGCGGTATGCGGCCGGGCAACGTTACCACCAGCCAAACTGCAGTACACGAGTGAGTCGCGCTCACGCAGGCTTGTGTGTACTTGAACCTGATGTCAGTCGTGTGGAAATACAGCCCATTACTACATTTCAGTTCAGGGAAGAGTTCAAAAAATGATTGGTCGATATCACGCATGAGGAATACATTTTGGTAAGTTGTAGCATACTGTATCTTTCAACAGTGTTCGGGTTCTTTTTCCATTAGCTAGTAGAGACGATCGGTTCACATGCGCTAGGGATCTCTGGTGTAACATGTACAAGCGCAAAAACAGTATTTATTGTTTGAATTGCATAATAAAATTGACAGAATCTAAGAGCTTAACTAACCTGCTTGCTAAGTGTTAATTGCATGTGTCTCACGGTGAATTCGTGAGAGTTGGCAGCTTTGAATGGCGCTAGGTTGATCAACACAGGGTTCTCAAGTCTCACGCATTGGCCGTGAGACACACTCATTTCGACCGGTTCACACGCTCACACGCCACACTGTGTATTTCTCACGCTGAAAAGGCAATGCCAACCAAGTTGTCCTGGCTGAAAGCTTTCTAACGTTGTATACGAGGCGCAGGCAAACAAAGTGAAGTTTCCTGCCGCCAGCGCGTATCTCCGCCAGATTGCGTTCGTTACTAGGCAACATATATGCGCGCTGCGTGCACCACTGATCTATACATGACATGTCATTCAGTAGCGCGAACACACGGAAATGGACGGAATATCCTCGGCCACCGTACGTTCGTTACTAGGTAACCAACAACATCGCGCGAACACATGTGTCGTGATGGAGAAGAAGGTAAGTTGGAAGAAGCTCGTCTAACATTTTTGGGCTAGAACATTTAATATGTAGCCCATCGTACATTATTATTGATGCAGTCGAAAACTCTACAACTAGCCTACTTTGCAACCAGGCTCAGTTTGGCTATCTTACGTTATCTGAAACTAAGAGAAATGTTAGTGGGTATGGAAAGGAATGAAGATTTACTGATTTTATTTTAAATTATATTATACTGTAATATTAATAGTCTTTCTAGTTACATTAAGGATGTATTACAGCAGATTGCTCTGGGTAATATTTAATCATTGTCATAATGTTGCATTTGTATTTTTCAAAGATGTCAGGAAAAAAAGCAGAAAGATATTTTGTCATTTTGGGCACCAAAGGGTAAGCCCCCTAAAAAGGTTGCCAGATTAGAGGAGGAGACAGTGGAAGAGGTGGTGCACTCTAATCTGTCCATTTGTTCTCAATGTCCCACCACACAATAAATCATTCGTCTAGATAGAAGACGCATTCAAAAATCAAAATGCAATTTTTAAAGATTTGTTTGAAACTGTTTGGAGCAATTTGTTATATTTTTGGTTAGCTATATTTGTAATACTGCATTAAAGAGTATTTGATGTGATGAATTGCTCTGTCATTTAACAGATTTACTAATTGTTATAATTTTAATTTGTTTTGGTTAATTATGAACAATGGGTAAAATTGGGGGCGGGGATGGTGGGCGGGGCTTCATTATGGCTCCTCCCCTAACCGCGTGTGATCTCACTCCAAGCTTTTGCTCAAACTTGAGAACCCTGCAACATCAGCGAATGCTGTCTGTCAAATTAATTCAAACTAACAATAAAAGTGTAATATGAACAAAAGGAATACCGTAAACTTAAAATAATAGCCCGCAGGCTTTTATTTTCCCATATCGTCGAAATGCAACAGCTTGTTTTTGAGACAGGCGTCTATGAGTCGGTCTTCATCATTTAGTGTTGAGATGTTGTTCATTGAGTCTCTGATCTCTAAAAATCTCCAAATGCTCCACGTGAAACTGCGGTCTTCCGACCTTTTACTATCGTGTCAAATGATTTGAATAATATGCGGAGAAAGAGAGCAAAACAGCGCTCGCTTGTGTTGTTTGAAGACGTGAGTGCGTGCGGCCGCGGCACAACACATTTTCTGGAGGTATACTGCCCCCATCTGTTATGGAATATGGAATATTTTTTGATTTTTAGTTCCAGATGGCACCTTTAATGCACTGCCTAAAAACTTGGCGAAAGTGTATTTTTCTTTCCCTGCCTGTTGACAGTATTTTCTAATTTATGGAGAAATGGTGTGGACACAAAAAATATAATTATGTGGACAGATATAATGATGATAATTTCGGTTCTGAAATATATTAACTAGATAATGCTTCTTTTGTATATTTAAGCAAAAAAAAAATCAAGTAGGGAATTCATGGTGATATCGCTTGCACTTTATTTGACAGGATGTGTAATAACAGTGTACTTACCTAAGAAAATACTGGGTAGGTGATCCTACATGTGTAAAAGGTTAGATTTAGGAGTAGGTTCAGGGTTAGTACGTAGTTATTACCCAGTTATTGCAATTACTATAAGAAGTACATAGTATATGTTATGTTGGGGAACAGGACTGTAAAATAAAGTGCATATCCATTAGTTAACGAGCACCTATCATGGATTTTTGAAAATGACTGTTCATGTAGTGTGGAATATAGCTCTAAGATTTCAACGCATTCTCATCCTTTAGCGTCACATAGAACGCTATATGACAAAACGGCGCTATACTACGCACATGGCACCCGTTATCGTTAATATAACACGCGCTGTGAGGGCTAAGTTTAGGTGTGGGGTAGGGTGTGCGTGTCATATTCACGCTAAAGGATTTATAACGTCTTGTCTTGGGTTCGCGTGTTATATTAACGATAAAGGGTGCCATGTGCGTAGTATAGCGCCGTTTTGTCATATAGCGTTCTATATGACATTAAAGGATGAGAACGGGCTGAAGATTTATATCTGAAAGTGCACCGTATATAAAGTTATTGTCTTTCAAAAGTGAGAGTCGACTCTGAGTAGGGTTGGGAACCGAGAACCGGTTCTTTTCAAGAACCGGTTGTGTTTTTGAAAAAATACCGGAACCGTGCAAAATTCCTAAGTTTCGGTTCCGAAAACGGTTCTGATGCCGATGCGATATCATCATGGGGGCGAAGTGCTGGGAGTAGAAGACGCCGTCTTATTCCTAAATGACAAAAACTTCACCACTGAAGTTGCGATTTGCTCTCTCACGCGCTGCATTTGTCACACACAGACACACGCACGCTGCGCGCGCCGACCGCCGAGTCACTCTCTAGCCTACATTCAAATCTGTTTGCGCTGAGAGAGAGAGAGAGCAGTTGTCGATATGAAACTGCTTTACAATCACACAGTCTCAATATTTATTTGTTTCACATATTCAAATGATTTCCGTTACAGAATTAGTGAGATTGTAGTTTGAGTAAACATTGACGGTAGTGGTCAAAACAGATGCAGTCTGTATATTTTTTGTGTTCAGATTTTACAAAATATGTACAATGAGCGAGTGCATCATAATGTTTTTTTTTTTTTTCAAACCGTGTTTTTGTCTTATCTTGAATCACTACGTAAAGCCTGTAATAAGCGTTAATACTCGGACTTCTTTAGACTGGCCGGCGGATCGCAGCTGCTGCGGAGTAGCCCAATGCCTGCGTGACTCGTCATGGACATAAACAGAGAGAAGTAGCTCCGGCAACAATGTTCTTCCGCAAGACGCATGCAGTTCTGTTTATTAACTGCTAGAGCGCCGATTTATCCAGTAATGAAATAAGTAAAGTCTTAATGAATCAATCATTCAAACCGTTTTAAAAAATAATCTGTTCTACACACATATGTGTGTTAAAGCATATTCTACTCCTTCTGAGAGGGTATTCTTCACTGTTGGAGATACAATAAAGGAGAGGTCTAAATTATTATAGAGAATGCAGAATTTTTCCTTTATATATATATATACCCTATATATATATATATATATATTTTTTTTTTTTTGCAAAGATTGCTTAATAATATTTTGAGTTTGTTTACATTACCAGTCTGTTAAACTAATTTGTCAAGTACTATAAGAAATAAACACAAAAAGGATTGTGGATTTTTCTCTTACTAATATTTTAATTGAATGGGAACCGGAACCGGAATCGTTTGGCGGAACCGGAATCGGAACCGGAACCGGAAAATTTCTCACGATTCCCAACCCTAACTCTGAGTCTATGAAATGAATTGTTTTTGAAACGAGTCATTAGCTGTTACATCGTGACGTAGAGAGGTCATTGGCCGCTCCCAACAACTGCGCGCGCAGACTTGAAGTGACGTCTAAAACACATTCAAATACTTCAGCTGAATCGCATCACGTTGAGAAGACGCTGTTTTCTACATTGCAAAGACAGTTCAGCCACTTGTTTCCATTGTCCAGGGACGAGCATGTGAAGACCCAGACAGCAAACTGACATTGAATCAACGTGGAAACGACGTCTCTCATGACATTGAAACAACGTTGATTTGCTCATCGAATTAACGTTGAACCAACGTCAGACGCGGCATTCTTCAAAGCTAAATGAAATCGAAAATTGGTTTGCTTTCATAACGTTGAAACAACGCGTTGATTTTAAGTTGATTTTCCGTTAGTTTTGAAAGAATGACGCATCTGACGTTGGTTCAACGTTAATTCGATGAGCAAAACAATGTCAGATCAACGTTGTTTCGATGTCATATTTCCACGTTGATTCAATGTCAGTTTGCTATCTGGGGAATCAGTGTTTAGAGTAATATTTGCAATCCAGTGTATATGGATCAGGTTCGTCCTCCTCCGAATCACAATCTGTAAGTAATATTAATAAAGTTTGCTGTTATGTTTTCTGTAGCATGCACAATATAGTTATATTGTGTTGTGTGTGTTGTGTACACTCCGCGCAGCTTCTAAGCGGGGTAAAGTTAGTTTTGTTTTTGATATTCAGACATTCACTGAAAATTGGCAATTACCTCCTAAACGACTTAGCCAAATATGACTTCGCTCTATATAATAAGCACTGTCCCTCAAAAGCCGCCGCAATGTGAGTTTCCCCGGGAAAGCTCGCTCTTGACGGAGACGCGAGTAAGGGACCGTGTGGAAAGTGCACTTTTTCTGACACGTTTGTTCAAACATTACACTATATACAATTTTTAACAGCTATAATCCTGGTTATGGGCGTTCCGTTGCCGACAGTCTCTGCCTACGGTTTACCAATAACAACTGACTGGGTCATTTGACCAATTGCCGCAGATTCGCGTCACTCAAAGGAGGTGTTTGGGAAAATGAATCGTCGAACGAATCCTCTGGGAGTCATTGATCAAATCAGTTAAAAAGAAATGCATATTATAAGACAAATAAAGTGTTTTTTATCCTTGCATGCACGTTAAACTGTTTTTGGGAACTCCCAAAACAAAAATAGGAACATTTCAAATGCTACGATAGGGGCTCTTTAAAATTTAAAATTAGTAGTGTCTTGCCTTAAAAGCTCATGCAAAGTGTGAGTCTCTTTTCACCTGGTGCAGGGCAAGTGTATTTTGTTCACAAACAAAACGATAATTTAGAGAGAATTCACTTCTGGATTTGAACGTGGTTGTCACTTTTTGCAGTGTGTACAGGCCTATATACTGTATATTTATCATGTAGTGAGGTTAAAATGTCACAGTTTGGATCAATTTATCTCATGAATGTAAGACATTCTTGCTGTGGCTTCCCATTCAGTTAATTTCACTCCGTTAAAACTCAACCCATAAGCCCATAAATGTAAATCATACATTAATGAAGTGAAGGTCACGCCATGGTTCAGTCATTGCATTTAGGGTTTGCGATGGCTGATGATTTGACTGGCTTACCTCCCCTCCTCTGACACTCTTTCAGGCAATGAAAGGGTTTTTGTGTCTGTGTTTAACTGCTCTGGGTTTTCATCGCATTCGGAGACCTTGGTTTAAGCGCCAGCTCTAGACAGATTATTGCATATATTGACCAAACTCTCTCTGACGTTTGGTTGTTTTAACCGAGATTATTTTCTTTCCTTGGTGCAGTGCGCAGACACAAGGTCATTTTCAGTTTTTCCATTTGAATTCATTGCTGTGCTTTTCCTCCCCCACGGAGATGGAAGCGTTTCCTTGCGCCTGTTTTTCGTTGCTACGCTTTGCTGTTTGCTAAACCTGTTGCTCATTGCCGTGCGCTAAACTGGCTAAATGCTCATACCAGCTTGAGACAAACATGCGGACCAAAGGATCCTGAGAATGTGATCAGTATTGTATAACGCCATGCAGCGAGCCACAGCTGGAGCTCAACATCCATCCGTGTGCAGTTGATCAGAGCTCTCTCTCCTGTGTTTGCTCTTTATTGTTTCCAATATCTGCAGCTCCGACGACGTGTCGCCCAATCGGCCGGATTCCTCACATGTCTATGCGTCCCACGTGGAGGAGCGGCCACCCCCTCCTTACCCTTCCTCGTCCTCCCACCACTTCTACCCCAAGCCCCCTCCCTGCGCTCGGCCCGTGGCCCCGGGCCCCGAGTCGCAGCCTCCCAGCTCCCCGCCTCCACCCCTGCGCTGGACCGGCTTCGGCCCACCCTTGCCCCTGCCCCTGCCCCAGCCACCCCCTTCCTCCTCTTCCTCCTCCTCCTCCTCCTCCCTCGATATCAACTCCAACCCCAAGCCTAGCTGCCTGCACTTTCCCAAACACGGCCCAGTGTGTGACGCCCCGCATGCCGCTCCGCCTGACGCCAATGCCTCGCCCCTCTACATTAAAAACCCTCTCGTGCTGACCCGCCACGACGTGTCCCTCGGAAACCCCCCTAGCCTCCCCTCCTCCGCCCCCCCGCCGTGGGCCGCCTGTCCGTGTGCCCGCGACAGAGGACCCCCCAGGCTGACTAGGTAAATACCACCTGCCTGCGGCCACCCTGCCTTCGCAACACACTGTGACGTCCACCAGGGCTCCCCACAATGTCTGAGCGCTCACCTCAGATCACTCCATACTGGCTCCCTCTTTCCATCTCGTTTATTTATTTATTTATTTTTATTTTTTTACTTTCTTTGTGATGTTATTGCTTTTTCAGCCTCATCACATAGATTTCGTAACATTGTCATTGTCCAGGGAGGTTGCCTAGCAACCGATGATGTCACTGGCCTTTAGCGAAAGTGTATACTTCAAATAGAAATCAGAGTTATTGTACTGTCACTGAAATACCATTATGTTTTTTTATTAATGTTTTGAATCAGTTTTTATATTTTGCATTCTCATTTTAATTTTGGTTGTGGTTAACTAATGTTTTTTTGTCTTTTTTTTTGTCTTTTGTATGTCTATATATTTTATATCAATATTTTGAATCAGTTTTTATTTTTGTATTTTCTGTTGTCGTTTTAAAAGTTTTGGTAATTTTGATGGGTTTTTTTCATCTTTAGTAGTTTGTTTTTTAAATATATATCTATAAAGTTTTTATTGATTTTTAATTCAATTTTAGTTATTTAGTTATCATTAGTGCTGTCAAATCAATAAGTCTAACTTGGGTGATCGCATCTAAAATAAAAGTTTGTATATATATTTATGGTTATATATTTAATGTGATTAATCGAAATTAATTGATTTGACCACTAATAATAACTAAATAACTGATAAATATATGTTAAATATATATAATAACTTATAACGTTAGTTTTTTTTTTTTTTTTTTTTACTTCAACTTAACCCTATTAAATTAAAATGAGAAATGTTTAAGCTTTATTTTATTTTATTTCATTTGGTTGGTTTTAGTTTTAGTGTCAGTTTTACTGAACTATAATTACCCTGCTAGAAATAAGTACATGATGGAGCTGCACATGGTGAAATGGATGCTTATGAATGTATTGATTGAGTCATGAGGTCTGTTTGCTCATTGGGATAGTCATACTAGATGTGCAAGTACATAAACACCAGCATCTCTGTTCCAAACCCTAATGAACTGCCCACCTAAGCTCTTTTAGTCATCATAGGCGCTCTCGCAACATAAAGACTCTTACAAACAATGGGAAACTGATTTATTCTGCCTCATAAGATCGCGTTGGAAAATAGAAATGTAATCAGAGGCACTTACATTTACTCAGTACTGAGAAGTTTCATTGAAGTAAAATCCAATATTTATGTGTGCCATTTGAATTTTTAGCTTATAATTATGGAAATATCTGAAGCTATAGAGATCTCTGTGATTGGTTAACTTTATCACCTTGGTTCCCTCGACAAAAAGACAGGATTTTCCCATTGGCTTTTGGATCGTTGCAGAAAATAAGTTCTGTTACCAACAAAAGTTTAGAATTCTTACACATTTTGTTCACACTGTAAAAAAATTATATGATCAATAAGTTTTGACAACATATGTTTTTACATTGCGAAAACTCGCTAGATTTTTTGGAACAAAGCAATAGGCACCTAAAAATGGCCACTTAAAATGTAATCATTTGAGGAAGATTTCAGTCTTCCCTGCGGAGTAGCCATCTGAATTTGCACTGGAAAATGAAACAACGCTTACCAAATCAAATTAGAATTCAAACGTTTCACATCAATGTAGGGCACCAATTTAATTGAGGTGGGAATTGTGTATATGAATGCTCTTTTTTTGAACCATCAGTGTCCCAAGTAGTTTAAAGGGTTGCAGGAATGTCAATGCAATAACAAGAATTCCCATTGCTTTCTGCACATACAGACTCCATCAATGCAATAAAGATCAATCTAAGATCTTAATTAGGAGTGCTTAGCATCAAAATGGACAGTATTAGCCATTGTACTACTGATGTTGACTGTGTATTGCAATGGTACAAGTCCACCCCATATACCCTTGTGAGCCTTTATTCAAAAGTCGTACGGAAAGGGAACTGCAGAGATTGAGTCATATAGATGTGACGGATTTATTTCAAACATTGTCCGAGGTGTTCTCTGCATGTCTGCACGGATATATGTGGACGACTTGTGTCCATGTGTGCATATAGATCAATCTTCCCCTGTGTTTTTATAGAGAGGCGCCTGAATAGAGCTGTCAGAGTGAAAAACAAGCTCCACATGCTCAGTCATATTAAAGATACATGCAGTGTGTGTGTGTGTGTTTGCTGGGCAAGGACACTCAATCCCCCTCCTGCTGATGTGGATGAGAAACCCGGTGTAAAACCGTCACGTCTTTGGAAAAAAAAAAAAAAAATCACACTCACATGAAAGCTGATTTTAGTTTTAGTTGTGTGTTTTAAAATATCCTTCATGTTATCTGAGAATTTACAGTAGCAAAAAAAAAAAGAATAGTTATAATTATTATTTTTATTTATTTATTTTTGCAATGGAAGCTTGTTTTTTCCACAGAAAAAAAGATAATTGTCACTTTTTATCTCTGACTTCTCACAATTGCAAGTTTATATAAAAAAAGTTTGCTAGTTATAAACTCACAATGCGAGGAATGAAATCAGAATTGCGTGATATACTGTAAGCTCGGTTATAGAGCCATATTGTGAGATGTAAACTCACAATTGTGAGAAATATAGTCAAAATTGTGGCAGTTTTAATTTTTTTTTTTTTTTTATTCTCTGGCAGAAACAAGTGTCCATATTTAGCTCATTTGGTTAAGCGTGGTGCCAGAAACATGGGTTCGATTCCCAGATCAGTTATGCCAATGCTTTGTCAAGGTCTTTTCGGACACAATCAAAACTGGCAGCATGTTGTTTAGCACTTTAGTTTTGATGACTGGGGACATGAGGGGTCCTTGTCATTTATGATATGGTGTGTGCAGACTGATGGCAGGCAGTCATGTTTGTCTCTCTCTCCAGCACTCTGAAGAGCAAGGAGCTCTCTCCTGTGATTGGCCACAAGGCTTTGCAGGCGGCAGGAGCTACAGTGCCCCCTGTCAGCGGTCAGCAGAGCAACAGCCAGTCTCCCCACTCGGCCGAACACAGTCCTCACACCTTACGCAATGGTTCGTCCCTGTGGGGTTCCTCTTTAATGCTTTTAAAAAATTTAATGAAGAGATAATATCCTCTTTAAATTTGGTATAACTGCTGACTTGGGTGATCAGGTCTTCATTGGTTTATGGTGCGTTCACGTGCTATAGTAATTATGGTAAATACCAAAAGCCGACGTGGAAAATGCACATGAACACCCCCTCTTGTGGTATTTTCCAATATTTTGATGCACGAGTTGCCGAGATGAGATAACCTTTGACCTTTTCAAAATGGTGGAGAGCAACACGAGAGTCGTGAATGGTAAAAATATGTACAGGATCTAGAAAATATACAGCATATTATTTACCGTTTGAGTTTTGATTAATCATCTTCTTGCTGTAGCAGATGACTTAAGCAATCTAAAATAGTTTTAGCTAAATAACAGGTCTGGATCTCCATTGTTTTACGACAACAAAAGCACTTGAACGAAACACCCTGGTAAACACCAGTTCACACGTGGAAAATATCATATTTTCCATAGCACATGAATGCACCATAGGTCACATTTGTCCTTTTAATGACAAGTTAAGGTTAGTTCAATGTAAATGATTTAACAAATTTGTTTCCCAGCACTAATATATATTTTAAAAAATCCTAAATCAAGATTAATTTACTTGACAAGGAAAATTACTTTAGATATTAAGTTAACAAAAAAAATCTTGTTTTATGCAAGTGTAATTTAATTTAATTTTAAAAACCAGACTTGAACGTGAGAAAAATAATGAGCAAGAAAACAAATGTTTTTTTCATGTGTTGCAAATGTACCCCAACACTTGATGATATTTATTTATTATTTTTAAAATACTTCTAACTTAAAAGTATTGATCAAATATAATATAAAAATATATATTTTTCAATCATTAAATTAATGATTAAAGGGTTAGTTCACCCAAAAATGAAAATTAAGTCATTAATTACTCACCCCCATGCTGTACCAACCCCGTAAGACCTTCGTTCGTCTTCAGAACACAAATGAAGATATTTTTGATTAAATTTGAGAGGTGGATCACTGCTACAAAGGCTGCCTAAGGGATCGAAACTTGTCGGCCCAGAAAGTCAATGAAGAAAATGTTTAAATACTCCATGTGACTACAATGGCTCAACTATAAGTTTATCAAGTGACGAGAATACTTTTTCTGCGAAAAAACAAATAAAATAACGACTTTATTCGACTGCTCCATTTCTTCCTTCTAGGCCTGAGACGAGAGTACAAGAGATTTCCACGACGCATGCGCGAGAATTGTGTTATTTTTCTACTACTACTTGTGCAATTCTCACACATGCGTCGTGGAAATCTCTTGAACTCTCGTAAGGGGCGTGACCTTTCCGGGCAACGTGCGATAATCTGCTGTCCAATCACAACACAGGAACCGTTGGCACAATCAGAACTCGTTACGTGTTTCTGAAGGAGGGACTTCATAGAACAAGGAAGTCATAGGGCCGTTTTTTGGACTGTGAAAACAGCCGTATACAGATTATTGTGTGAAAAATACTTTTTTTTTTACACGTGAAACATGAACACATGTTGTATTGCACACTGTAAACACAATCAAAGCTTCAAAAAAGCATGAAGAACGGGACAACAATGAGCTCATTGAAGTAATGAGTCATTGAATTTAAACAAATTCCCAAGACGCATTGCACATAATTCACGCTTCACCCAAAACAGATGTTAATACCAGGTTTAAACAGGGTCGTGGTGTAAAAGCTACTTGCATGCATATTTGATTTTGTCTTCTATCTCTCCCTACAGCATCTAAGAAACTGGCCCCTGTGCCGCCCAAGATTCCCTACTGCCAGTCGGGGGGGATGTCAGACCAATCCACAGGTCAGCCGTCTCCGGTTAGCCTGTCCCCCACTCCCCCAAGTACCCCCTCCCCGTACGGTTTGGGCTGTCCCACTGGACACGCGCCCTCCTCTTCCCCTGGCCAGACCCCATTAGGGGGACCCCATTCGTTGTCCTCGCCGCCCTCTCTGACTGGTACGCTCACAAAGTCCCGGCCCACCCCAAAGCCCAGGCAGAGACCCAGCCTACCCCCTCCCCAGCCACCAACCGTCCCTCCTACGGTCCCCCAGCCCCTGGAGCAGGGTCTACTTGACGGATTGTCCCCTGGAGAGAGCATGTCCACAGGTAAACATGCCTCAGTGGCAACATCACGAGTGGGAGTCCAGCGTCCCTCTCTCAAACTGTCTGTCTCTCCGTCCTACGCAGGCGATGGACTCTAAAGAGCCAGATCCCCTATGAAATGTGAAGAGATTTGTTTGTCTTTATTATTTTTTTATTTCCTATGATTATATTTTAGCTCCTATAACTTGTAAAAAAAGTGGAAACAAAGGGAATTCACTCAAAACCCAGGGATGTAGCATATATATTTTACTAGGAAGTGAAGTGTGTAATTTTTGCACAACCAACACCAATGTAAAAATAATGAATATTTTATACCGACCCTTCCGCCCCACCACGAACTAAGCACCAAACTCAAACTCATGCCATTACTTGAGCAAGAAGCTGATGGACATGTCAGGCTCCACTTAGTTTACACTTAGTTTTGAAGTTGTCAACCTGCAAACGATTCCCACAGTACAAACAAATTAGCAAGCACAGCTGAAAATCAATTGGCTAGCTTGACTTTCAGAGTCACTACTTTCACTGAAAGTGCAGTCACTTTTACCCCTTTTCCACCAAAGCATTTCGAGAGCCGGTTCGGAGTTGGTGCCTACTCGCGAACCAGTTCTTTGCGTTTCGACTGCCAAAGAACCAGTTTTCGGCCTTGGAAAATTGCTTCCAACGCGGCACCAACTCTTTTCTGGACTAGAACCAGAAAACTGTTCTTTTACCACGTCACCCTTACGTCGGGGGCTGGGGGCGCGGTGACCAACAACACGACGGGAAAGGTTGCGACTGCCATTGCTAAAAACACTAGTACAAAGTCAGTCTGACCCAAATATTGGATCACAAAGCCAAGAGAAACAGTTGCAGAATGACGATGTAGTCCGCCATTGTAATTGTTATGCTTAAAGTTGTCGCGAGCGTTTCAGGGAAAGCTAAGATGTATGGTGACGTAATGACATCATTCGCTGGGCTCTCTAGTCAGTGGAAAACAAACAAGTTCTGAGACATTGAACCAGCACCAGTTCCGAATCAGTCCTTCTTTGGTGGAAAAGGGGTCATTTAGATTGAATTAGATGTAATTTAGAGTTGTTCAGTGAATTTTCGCGGGCGAAATCCAGTCACAGAATTATATGTGAGGGTAAAAGTTGCAGATTTTACAAGCGTTTTTCTGGAAATCGTCAACTGTTTGGTGAATTTCCGTGAGCCGAATCTAATAATTTCAGTAGGAATTCTCGTCTTTATGGCGAAAGTCTGAGAAAACCTAGAAGAAAAAATTACACACTTCACCTTCAGTACGAGTCCTACTTGTTTTCTCAGCTTCAGTGTGTGACTGTTTCCCTAAAATAAGGCTCTGTGGTCTTTGTATCATTATAGTGGCCCGCTGTATGGCACTGATTGTATGTTCTATCATGTGAGGCGTGTCTGTCAGTCATTCTCCTGAGCACTGATTGATGTATGACTCTTTTATCCCCTGTCATCGTTGTGCACCTTGCAGCTGTGTGAGGCCAGGGACTGAGTGTGGGCTGAGTGTGAGGGGGACATTTAGGGTAAGCCAGAACCTGCTGTGCCCGTGCCATAGCCTCATCTCACACCATCTGGCCTGGTGCTGTGCCTGAATCTGGGGCCTACCGCAGCCTTGCTCTCTGTCTCATACCGTAACACTTCCTTCTCCAGCTCTGTCATTCTCTCCAAGTCGCGGGACTGCTTCTGGCTTCTTCATTCTGTCAGTGTAGTCTGTGCATGGTGTGAGACTGGTCTGTGCATGGCTTATGGCCTTACTTTCCCAAGCAACACCACATATTTGCCAACGTCGTCGCTTATGAAGTTCATTTCAACACCTCTGGCCCCAACGTGATCCATTCCCCCTCCACATTGGTGGACATTGGTAAACACCCAACCAAACTCTTTTTGAGTCGAGTCAATCACAGGGTGCCCCCCCCCCCCCTCACACACACACACAGTCATGACTACGCCATCCGCGGCCATCTCATGCTTACACAGGGGAGGTCATCACAATCAGATACAGTCCACCAATCCATATAGTCCACTGATAACGTTCTTGATGTTACCACATCTTCAATTTGCTCTCATCTTGTTGTCTATCTGTGGAGTATTTTAGTCATTGTGGTCAGTGTTGGGGGCAACGCGTTACAAGTAACGTGCGTAACAGGTAACATTTGTTACAGGTAATGTGCGTGACAGGTAACACATAATTTAATCAAAATTTGTGCCAGGTTTCTTTAATTTCGCTAAGATATTTTTTCGAACACGAACAGAAAATGGCACATACCGGTATTATATAACAAGTTGCGCTACTTTTCGGCTTATTTTCCTATAGAATTGGAAATATTACAAAGAACATAAAGAATCTTTACACTGTCAAATTAAGGCTCCAAATCGTGTGCATTGGCGGATAAAAGGCATAGTAAAGCCACTTTATAATCTGTAACATGTTACAAATGGAGACAAATGTGTTCTGCATTGTTTCCAGCTATTGTAATTCATGTGTAAAAACATTTAATGCAGTCATTGTGTGACATGTTTCATGCTATGTTTGTTGTTGCAAGAAAATTATGTCAGGGGACAAATACTTTTTCACAGCTAAAAAAAAAAAATACATCAGATTTTATACAAACATCTGCAAGCCAAGCAGGAAACCACAGTTATAGATGGCTTCTTAAAAGTGAGACACAATAGCACAACATATCATGTTATTATAACATGTGAGGCAACATAAAATGTAACACCATTCACACAGTACTCGTTTTGCCATTCCACTGTGTTTTTCAATGTAAACGCTCTAGACGGACGTGTTCGACCATGTCTTTTGCAGCATCTCGCGCATAACACGGCTTTCTAAAAAGGCGGCGCTCAAACCAAAAGTAGTTAAAATTTAAAAAAGAAAAAAGCGTCTCTTGACCTTGCGCTTTTTTTTTTTTCATTCCACTGGGGTCTCACGTCTTTAACAGCAAAAACGTGTTCTGTGTGATCCGGCCCTTATTTTTAAAGTAACCTTCCCCAGCACTGATTGTGGTGAACTGCTGATTCAGTTATTTTTACTTTCTGAAAAACTGCGAAAAGCTTTATGTATTACTTTATATTTTCATGAGCATAGCAGAGATTGAAGCAGGAGGAGCAAGCACTACAGGCTTCATATATGAAACCAAACCTATTTCACCTTCCTTCCCAATGGCTCGGTGTGACGGAAAGAATCCCTGTGTAGAAAGCCGGGAAACAGTCTGATGTGCCCCTCTCCTGCTGCAACACACATTCAACACCCTTCGCTGACTTCGCCTCTAACAGTGGCCTTGGAACTGAAATTACTTTTTGCTTTCTCTCTCCTTGTGTTTTTTCAACATCCTCATCATCGCCTTTCCATCGTTGCTCTCTGTTTTACTGTAAACGTGTCTTGTCACTTCACTTTTGTGGCCATTTCTCTCATTTCCCATGATCCTGTAGCAGATTACTTCAGTTTGGATATTCCCTCCATCAATGTCAATCTGGATAGCCTGTTGGACGAGTTCAGGGTGGGCCCATGTCGGAGCTCCTTTGCTGCGGTCAGTTCTCCGGAGGGGGAGTCCGTCTCTGAGGAGGAGGGCCAAAGCACCACGCTATGACCCCTGAGCCCACCAACTTGCCATCTCCTGCCGAGGCCCAACTGGAACCCCATCTTGGCCAAACCCTGAGTCACGGTTACTAGACTAGAGAAGACGCCAACCACACAACAGGTGCCATAAAAAGCAACAGAATGGATTTTGTTCAAATTGCCACTGGGGGAACCTGGAGTTTTGTGTTACATTACCCGTTTCTCTCTGAACGATTCTGTCTGTTTCGTTTTGTTGTTGGTTTTGTTTGATTGGGATGGATTTTTTTGTTTCTGCCTTATCAGAGCTGCAATTACGATACAATGCACATAGTGGGCAGTCTGCAGACTTTAAAGGAACCTCGTAAACTTTATCTTGCTGAAGGCTTGGAACTGAGACCCACCCTTACAGTATGAGAGTGGGACATCGTTGTTTTCCCTACAGGGTCTATGCCATGCTCTTTATGGGTCACTTGGCATATAGCATGTTTAAGTCTAATTTTGCAATACTGACTTTCTTTCTTTCTTTCTTTCTTTCTTTCTTTCTTTCTTTCTTTCTTTCTTTCTTTCTTTCTTTCTTTCTTTCTTTCTTTCTTTCTTCCAAATCTAAACTATACACTACTTTAGCAATCCAATCCAATTTCCCTTTTGCTAAGCCTCGACTTGCTACTCTCTGACCTTAGCAAGTAGTAAATTAAGGATTCGAAGTGTACAACTAATGGGCCATTCGCTCCCATGAATCTTTGCACAGGAAAGCAGCACACACAATTGTGTGATTACGGCACATCTTTAATTGGCTCGGCAAAGATGTTTTTGTTTTGTTTGGTCCTTATACCCTTGTTTGGTCCTCCCCCTTCATTCCTTCGAAGCTCTTACTTTGGAGGGTAGACCCTTCAAAGGTATTAGGTCTTATGTATAAGTCCTTCACAATGGAATGCAAGGCAAATGGAAATCCTGTCTTAAAGGATAATTCCGGTATTTAGCACTTTGAGCAATATCTTCTAGTTTGTTTTGGATGAACTAGAGTGGTGGACACAGAAATTTTGACGATGGGTCCTGTCTTGATTTTTTTGACTCTTTTAGAATTCACCTCTGACCGCTTCAGAGTGGCTGTCTATGGGCATAACGTTCGTTTTCAAAACATTGGTTAGAGGTGTTTGTTGATGATTAAAAACTATTTTTTCAGATATCTCACAAGCGCATATAAACTTCCGCTCGATATTTGAGTCTGAAGCGTTAGCACACTCCAGACCACTTGATGGCGACAACCACTTTGCCGTACAAGGACTCTGTACAGAACAGGGTGTCTTGCGCATAGACCTTCTGAGAGACGGAGAACTGACTGAAAAGACTACTACAAAATGTAAACAGACCTCTTTTCTGTTTCCGTTAGCGCAGTGATATCAACAAGCAATGAGTCCTCCAAACAGACATGAATGCGATTTTACAAAATGGCAAATAAATACTCTAAAAAATGCTGGGTTGTCAAATATGGACAAACTCAAACATTGGGTTAAAAATGTAATTTAAAAATTTAACCCAATGGCTGGGTTTGTCCATATTTGACCCAAAATTGGGTTAAAACAACCCAAGAAACATCAACAAACACCACTAACCACTCGGTGAGTTCCACAGTTTTGAAAACGAAGATTAAGGGTTGTTTTAAGGACATGTTTGTGCATGCCCAAGCGGTCAGAGGCAGTTCTAAAAGAGTCAAAAAGTCGAGACAGGAGGACCCATCGTCAAAATTTCTGTGTCCACCACTCTAGTTCATCCAAAACAAACTAGAAGATAGACTCAAAGTGCTAAATACTGGAGACTCAAAGATGGACTCAAAGTGCTAATTATCCGTTAAGATTTTTAAATGTAATTTAAAAAAAAAAAATCAAAGATTACAATAAACTCTTGTTGCCGGGGCACTTCAAACAGTGATAAAAGATACACATGGTATAAGAAAAAAGTTGCTGCCTTAAACTTTTAAGTACAATCAACTTGGATGTTATTTCAACTTAAATTACATTAATTATATGATCAATACATTATGACATGTTTTTAGGTTGCTTTAACTCAAAATCAAAATAAGTTAAGCAATTTTGAACTTATTTGTATAAGTAAGTAAGGATTCAACTATTTTTAAGTCAGTTTAATGTAATTTAAGTTGAAATGACTTAAACATCCAAGTTGATTGTACTTAAAATTTTAAGGTATAGCAACTTTCTTTTCAGTGTGGGGGATTCAGTAAAGATTGTCAGAGTGAGTAATAGAAACTGAGGTAAGGAGCTTGGCGGAGGGTCAATTGAATTAATATTTTGTGTGTTTATCTGTGCTACAACATTATCCAAAAGCGCACATAATGTAATAGCAACACAGTGACTGCTGCATCAGAGTGTATTTTCTTAAAGACTCGATTAATAAAATGAAGTGTCTGAAAACAAGGTAGGAAATCCAGGGTTCCCACAGTCATGAAAAATATCAGGGAATTTTATTTGTGTCATGGGAAAAGAATAACATTTTTAAAATTCCTGTAAAAAAAAAAATCTGTATTATGCTCATAATACTCATTTCCTGTTTGCGAAGTCAATTTCAAAATCCTTACCATGGAAACTGGAACAACTGTTCATGGAAATTCTTTGGTCAGAAGATGTGGGAACCCTGGAAATATTGATTCCTCACCCTTTACCCACAAAACAGAAACAGCACTTGTGCTGAAATGGGTCACTACGAACACGTTTATACTGCAAATAATGTTCTCATTATCAGGACATCAGGCAGCCCCTACTGAGATCAACCATTGCATTTTCTGTTGTGTTTCCACATCCATATGCCCTCCAAAGTGCTTCAAATGCAGTGCCACACTATCCTTTATGTATATACCAATACTGTATATAAAGATGTATAGATAAGCGTCAACGAGAGGACAAATGTAAAGGCAAATATGAGTTATATATTCATAAATGTGACATGCCATATTTATCTTGTATAGAGATAATGTTCTAAGTATTATTTTGTCCCTGCACACTTTTTGTCAGGTTCACATAGCAAGTCAGTTTTTTGCACTTTTGTAAGCCATGAACTAGATGTAGAAATATGAATGCAGACTTGGCAGAAGTTTAGGTAGACTTGCTCCCGAGAGAGATTTTATCCCTAAACCGAGTAACCGACCTCATCAATAACAGCCTTAATCAACACAAACACAATCTACTCATTATTAGAAAATACGTTAAGTCGTTGACAGATTAAACTGATTGTGAATCTGTTCATTCTTACTATTGTATTACAACTGGCTGATTACATAAATAAAAATACACTGGCCCTAAAATGCATTGGACACTTAAAATGTCTACAAACAAATGTTAGAACTTTTCTCAGAAGTAAATTACTTTAAATCAACTAGTGGTTTTTAGTGGATGTACAATGTCACTTATCACAGTATCAGCATGATCTAATGTTTGACAACCACAATGTGTCCACATACGTTTTAGGGCCACTATAGCGTATCACCCCATTCAAATCAATGGAAAGATACTGATTTATAACTTGGCAGGGATCCTTTTTGTGAAATGTCATCTCAAAGATATCAGGCCCTTAAATCCTTCAGAGTCTCATTGCTTTTCCCAGACACAAAGTCGGATGCCACACTGAGATGGCACGAGTCTGGCCATTTGTTTCATCAGTAGACGAGACTACCAGATGCTGCAATTTATCTTGTCTGAACTTTTACAACAACAACAACAAAAACATGCAGGACTTTATTAAGGTCAAAGAAACATTTGCTTACTTCTGTCCCGTGGAAGGAACGGGCACAACACAATCTCTGTTGCTATACGAACTCTACTTCCAATGGCTTCTGTTTTTCTCTTTGAATAAGCATTGGTGTTTGTCAGGGACAAAAGGACTTTTTTTTTTTTTTTTTTGCTGAAATCTGTGATATGCCTCAGTGTGTGTTCTTGATGAAATATAGTCTAATGATTATTGGTGACTGAGTAATAGTTGTAGTGATTACACAATGATAATTGCAAGTGCCCTCACATTCAGTATTTATAACCTGAAGCTAACAGCGAATTTCGTGCGTACGTGAGGTTCTGTCTGTGCCGTTTCCCGCGGTGTTCTGTGAGGAGGCCGTTGTGTCTGTTCGGGTGTGCTGACTGAATGTGATTTACTTGGAAGTGCACTATAGCGTAAAGGCCCCTTACTGCAGCTGCAATAGAAGCATGGTTTATTTTCGTTATGAACATGAAACTTTTGCTCATCTTTCTCTGTTAGCAATCATAATGAATGCTAATGTTGTTGTTAATGAAGACGTGGGAGGGTTTTATACGGTATGTACGTGCATTCTTCTCATTCTAGTTCAACACTGCATCGGTTATCACGCGCTTTTGTAAAAATGAATATGCTTTATCTAATCAAAAAAATTGTGGCAACAGATTACAAGCAATATTATGAATTGAACTTAACAAATTAGAATTGAGTAATAATTCATCAAATTAATTACTTAAAAGTTAACCATTTAAAACGAGTAAAACTTACAACAACAACCAAAAAAACATAAATTGAAGTCACCATTATGCACTGTAAAAAAGTAACCTGGTTGCCTTCATTTTAAGTTGATTGAGCTGGAAAAAGTGAGTTAATACAATGAAGGAGATTGATTTAATCATCAGAAACTCAAAATAATAAGTTATCTCAACTAAATAAATTATTTAAGTTGATTTGGCAAAAGAAAAAATGTTGTGATAACAAATATTGAAAATATTTTTTTACAGTGTGGTGATCGGTGTTTGTTTTAAACTTACAGTTTTCTCCTTCAGTGATTCTGCTTGTTGACATCAGGTGTCTTCAATGTTGGCAATATAAAATAAAGAGTTCTCAATTAATCTTTCACGTCTGTCTGTTAGTGAAATATTTTTTGGTGTAAACTTTACTCATTTTTAAATGGTTAACTTTTAAGGAATAATTGAAGAGTTCAGATGCAAAAGCCTCTAAGTGCCATTTGAAATTTTCTTCTAGAATGATCATTTTTATCAAGCTTGTATATTTAAGTTCAGTAATTTCACTTAAATGGCAATGATAATTACCTGTTAATTGTTATTTAAGTGAAATTACTGAACTTGAATATACAAGCTTGATAAAAATCATCATTAAAGAAGAAAATTTCAAATGGCATTTAGAGGCTTTTGCATCTGAACTCTTCAATTTGATTAATTATTACTCAAGTCTAATTTGTTAAATTTAATTAATAATATTGCTTGTAATCTGTTGCCACAATTATATTGATTAGATAAAGCATATTCATTTTTACAGTGTAAGGTGAAAGGGCACAGCTATCCGGTATCTAAGGGGCCGTTTACACAACATGGTTTTTAACTAAAAACTGAAACTTTTTAATGCGTTTTTGGCCATTCATTTACATGCCAACAGAAAATGGGCTTCAAAGCAAAAGTTTTTGAAAGCAATACCGCTATTGCCATGTTACAACAAAAATGAGAATTTGTGAAAACGGTAACGTCATGCGCCGCATGCCTATTACACGTTCAGTCTATAGGTGTATCGTATTTCTTTACAAAGTGACAGCGACATCTACTGGCCTGGCATGAAAAATACAGTGGTATTAGTCACCGATCCATGTAAATGTGGATCGTTTTGGCAACACTGTTGTCTGTGTGCATAATCAAAAAAACAATCAAAAAAAAAAAAAAAAAAACGCTAACGAAAAACTTTTCTGTTTTTAGTACGTCTTTGTCATGTAAACGGACCCTCAATCTGATCTGTAAATTAAGCTAGTCATCAGATTCAGTTGTTTATTTCAAAATAGAATGGATGTAATAGCCATGGAACTTTTTTAAAGAATCACAGCTGATGAACTGAACAAACATCATTTTAACTGATGATTTGACACAGAATCTGCACATGTGAATGTCATAAAACTGGCAAGGTAATAGTTCCCCCCCAAAATTAGAAGAAAACAAACAAGAAATTGTATTCCTGTAAAGAACAAGAAGCTTATTGTATCTTATATTACAATAATTCGTTTTCATGATGATTAAGCACAATTTCACAACCAAATGTCATTAACGCAATGGAAAAAAAGAAACAATCTATAATATGAAAAATGAAATATTAATTAAATTGTATTTATATCCTAGTATGATTTGTACTTCACTGATGTAGATTTAAATAAAACAAAAATATTTGTATTGCAGTAATGACTAATGTATTTATCATGGCAATGATGTAACAAAAAATCTTAATAGTCATTTTTTTTTTTTTTGCCTTTTGATTTTGTAGTGAAATGGCCTTAATAGCTTAAATTCATATTGAGGACTGTAATCATTATCATATGAGTCAAAATATGTTAATCCAACATGCAAAGGGTCAAGCAGACTTCATTAGTTGCTTGAATCAAGGAAATTTATGATTCGAATTATCTTTTCAAAAGACCAACAGATACAATACTTTATACAGATACATGCATTTATTAATTTTTCTGTGACATTTTCAGCATACAATTAAATGGTGAAAAAGAACAGAATGGACAAAGAACCCAAATCTTATAAAATAGACAAACTGAACTAAAGATCTGATCTCTTTCTCGATACACTTCAATCATTTGTATTGAACATTTTGGTTGATCTATTGCCCATTTACATCATCCTTTTAAAGCGAGCAAGTTGGAGTGACAGAACAGAGAATGCATTTAATTATCCCCTTTAGATAATCGTGTGTGTGCTCATTTAAATGATACCAGATAATAAAGGGACTCAGTGATGAACCAGGGATGTGTGAACTTTAAAGGTTGTTCAGTGCACATTTTCCAACAATGTACAGCCCTCTCCAGCTCTGCTTACCGAACTAATGTACAAATCTGCCTGTAAATCACCCTCCTCTGCTTAGCATATCAGTGGAAGAACACAGTCTGTACTGTGAAGCCTGCCGCAGTCCTTATCAGAATGTCAGAAATACATAGATATATATTAAACTCTACATTTGTAATAATACTTCTGGTGTAAGTGCTTTTGTGTGTTTGAAGAAGTGATGTTGTAATAACAATGTCCTGACATTATAGGGCATGCATGCCTTATAGGGTTGTATGGAGAGAAAAAAATGAAAAGGTTGATGTCTGAAACTGCTGTATCTTTGACAAATCAGGTGTTTATCTCAATGTGAACTCAAACATTTCTCATCTACTTTCAATTAATGTTGACTCTATAGTGCAAAAATCGGGTTCCGGAATTTAAAAAATCCTTTCATTTTCTCCATAGGGGAAATTGATTTTTAATGATAACTTACGAATTTAGGTTAAGTGAAACCGTTAAGTGGGCCGTCAGCCCACTTTATTTCATCTTAATAATGGTTAGATTAATATTGTATCTAGTATTTTAAGAATATTTCTTCTGAAAATAATTGTTTAACAATGGGAATTTCTGGTGAAAACTACATTACCCATGATGCTGTACTGAAAACTACACCAATCAGAGAGTCGCCAAAACATCTCGTTAGCTCCGCCCACTCCCTGCCCATGAAGTGCTGCGAATGTGTAAATCGAGTCGATCTCTCTAGGCTCTCAAAATACTGAAAAATTTGAATATTTAAGCATATTTTGCAATAAACTTAAAATACAATCTTTTATAATTCCCCATCGGTTTTAATTGGATGTCATTCGCAGTGCTTCATGGGACTGTAGTTCTTTCCCCTCACTTATCGTTAGTAAAGTGGTCAAAAGTGATGTTAATATGGTCTTGAGATAAATTTACATCTTTACCCATTATTCAAATTATTAAAAGTTTGTAATGTTGCGTAGTTGTGCTTGGAGTCAATTATTTTGTTAGCAATAAACATGCAAAATTGTGTGGATATAATTTATGGGCTGTCATACAACACGTGCAAAAGAGCACAAAAGAGAACCGACAGATATTAATAACTGACTATTTTTCAATGTATGCTTTTTCCTATGAGCTTCTTTGTTGTTATATGTTTTTGCAAAGTCAAATAAAATCTGTAGCTGTAGTTTACCCCCTTTTATTTTGCCAAATAATTTTGTCAGATAAATAGGCTACTCCCCTCATATTTAAAAATATAAAATATTTTCCTGACACTTTATTCGAACTTTAAAACAAACATCACTTTTGGCCACTAATTCACAAAGTATTGTCCTGTATACCTTTGTCTTTTTTTTTTATTTACTTTCAAATACTTTTATGCTTCAAATAAACTTTTGTAATGGTTTGATTCACCTCTGATTGGTTTGGTGCTTATAACGCTTTCCCTATGAAATAAATGAATGAAAAAAAAAGTTCTTATTTTTTTTTTTTTTTAGGAGAAACATTAAACAAATTGATGTTTAAAACTGAGAAATCAATTACGGCACCTAAGCCATGAAAGAAACTTCTGAGCAATAAAATTTGTCCTCTGGGAGGAGACAGTATAAACATGAATATTTTTAAGGGTTCAAGTATGCATTGCTGCACTGGTACGTGTCACAAACACCCTCCAGAATGTGAGGTATCAGTCATGTCATCGCTAACCTGCGTTACAAGAATTTCTGGTCAAGAGAGGGTGTGTATCATTCCTTACAGGCATTGCAAGCAGTCAAGAAAAGCTCAAAGTAAAGCCTCATCATCACACCCTTCCTTTTTCTCCATTCTCAACCCTGCTATATGTCCACAGTAGCTGTAACTGAATCCCACAGTCTTTCTTTCTCCGAGATCAAATGACATCCAGTCGACAATCTCATCTTTGCTTCTCGAGGTTTAAACGTCTCCCGTCTCCTCAGTAACTCAAGGGAGCCACCATTCAGTTCCAGAACAAAATACTTGTTTATCCATTAAGTAATACTATACAATGACTTTGTTTCTGTAATTAAATCTTCAGCATTGCCTCCCTCCAAGACATGTCAGAACAAGCCTTGGAAACGATCTCACAATAACCGTCTGTTCTTCATAAAACATTCATTGTGACCGAGTGAAACCAGCCAACGCATCTCTTTTTCAGAAAGCCTGGCTTAACACAATAATACATACTAATCGTTTAAATCGTACACAAGGTAACAGTTCTGGAGCCTTTATGCCAGCAGAACCCATGGAAGTGTGGCAGCCACGAGGGCCAATAAGGTGAAAGTGATCATTAAGACCAGAAGGCAACAGGAGATGGTGCAAAGTCTCGGTCCATTACTGCCATAGTCCCTCTGCCAGCCTGAAGCTATCCCAATGTCAATAACATCCCCTTCTGTCATGGGTCGACCCGACTCACTAATGATAAACACCTCTGCGTCTTTAGGACAGACGAGCATTCGTCTACATAGTCTACATGAAATGCTCCTTAGACACCTGCCGACACAGCCGAGACATCCACCGTGAGAACTGTGAACAGAATTCCTTGGGAACGCAGGAGTGGGGACGGGTGGCACTTCCAGTGTCCTTCCGATCCTTTTGCCCTCAGTCGGGGAAAATGTTAATCCGTGGTGCTTTGTGATGAATGTCAGGTGTCTGCAGACAGGACAGATGATAGTATCCCGTTTAATGAAGCCGTTCTGGCTGGTGTTCACCAGGGTTCGCACTAAGCAGTCATGGCAGAAGTGATGCCCGCAGCTGAGGGTCCTGGCACTGTCCGTGAGACTCTCGTAACACACCGGACACTCGATGTCTTCTTGGGACTCCTCATCCATGACTCTCTGCTTTCAATAACTCCAGCTGGATCACCTCTGCTGCCTTTGAGACTTCAGAAACACACACACTGGTACAGGTAACCGATACTCCCATAAGATAACATGCTGACACTCGTGACGACACAGACATTGTCACGCGAGGAATGTTGATAAACTAGATCTGTTGTTAAAGAACCTGGAAATGGTTCAAAACAGACTAAGTATTGTAGCTACCATAATGTAAGTGAAGCATGTGCAGGATGATGATGCATCAGCTCATGTGTTATCATAGGCAATAAATAGAGATATTTGCTTGTAAAATGTAACTTTTACATTTTTTTTTTCCAAAGAGGCCATCTTATCCAGGTATGACATTTGATATTATTCTAAATATTTATATATTTTTAAAGTGTCGTTAATGTAAAATACTATAGGCCTATTCTATTAAAATGTGTTTTTTAACCATGTTGAATAATTGAATATTAAATACTGCAAAACAGAATCCCAGAGATTCATCTTAAAGGTAAAATGATTCTATCACATATGCAGGCATATGAATATTTAATTAAGTGCCCATATTTTATTTGAGGTTATGCCATGATTCCAACATTATGAATGATTGAATGATTTCTTTGAACTACCATGTTTTCATAAAACTGAAGATAATGGAAATACTGAACAGTAACCCCATTGAATGCAATAATTATTTAATTTAAAAATTACACTAGTAACAACATGCCACTTTTGTGACAATTCTGGGTGGCTCATCTTACCCCACGGGTCTATTTTTATCTTTTCACTTCAAAATAAAAAAAATTATAACTTTTACTCCACCAATCTAAAATCATTGATGTGTCCACCCACAAACTCCTCAGTAACAAATAGACATTGATAGGCTACAACAACTTTGATATTCAATATGTCATGTGATCACTACTTTCCAGAGACACACCTCTCTTAACGGTTTTGCCCTAACTACATCGCACAAATGTTGATATTCAGATGAAATGTCAAAAATATGTTTTAATTTAGTATGATTATTTTTTAGCCTATTATTAATCAGGAAGACAGGAACTTCAGCTACCGCGGAGACCAAACGCGCCATCGTGTGGTGTGATTTACAGATGAGATTTGGCCAATAGTAAAAATGGAACATGAATCTCTGATCTTTCCTCGTTTTAAAAGCACCCATATGCGCTGATCGCGTCAGATTCAGAGGACCTTGACTATTTACTGTACCTCATAAACAAGAACGCGCCTTGTGAGCGTTTCAATGACGTTAAAATGACGCAAAGACGCGGTGTCGTCATCTCACCGGAAGTTGAAGAGGGAAATCAGTGGAGTCGCGTTGGCATTTAGTATCAGCAGCCGACGCTCGTGTTCAGGGGAGACGCCGAGCCTGTTCGCAGACCTCAGGAATAGGACATGAGAAGGTACAGTTTCTTGACCTTTATGATTTCATTCATGATAATTAATCCTGCTCAAACGCGGTAATGTAATGAAAGGCTTTATAATTTAAACAGACTGTTCTCTTAAGCTGTCATTCTCTGGCCACTGTAGCTAGACCAACAGTTGCTGAAACATGATTTTTTTTTTCAAGTGCCGGTTTCTTCTTGCGTAACTGTCACAGTTAAAACGTCTTTGATTAAACGATTCATATCTTGAGGTATTAAAACCGCACATCATTGAGATATAGTAATAATTATTGTAATGTATAATAGTCTTGGTTGTCATTTAACGTATAAACGTTGGTCAAATCCGCTGGCCTGCCGGGAGAAAAGTCAACCTAACGTTAAATGATTCACGTGCGGTTTTCGACTCTCAACAAATCACCAGGACGTATTCTCAACGTCCTGTATTTGCTAATGTTTAGTTATTAATTTTCCTTCTCATGGTTGTTTTTATATTGAGTGTTGACCCCTGGTCGTCTTCAATCTGACCCCATTGGTCTTACGTCTTAACCTTAGCTAAACAAATTTAGCATTTGTTTGACAAGTCATGCTCTTCTTCACATAGATATTTGTTAGTAATACATGAACATTATTTTTGGATTATTTGCTGTTTACATTATTTGATTAGGTTATTTCATCTGTTGGCATTTGTCTAGCGCTTATAACGTTCATGATAAATAGGCTACTAAATTTACTTAGCCTATGTTTTGCATATCTACAAATAATGTACCTTTAATGTATACATCACTGTGCATTGCTTGTGTGACATTTGGATTTGATAAGATTTCTAATGTCATTTTTGTCTTGTCTTAGCCAAAAAATATAGGCTACTAAATGAATAACACCAATAACTTATGTTATAGCCTACAAAGTATTTGTAACAAAACAAAGTATATCGACTCAACTTAAAACAGTTCAATTGAAGTACAGAGATGTCCTCCCCAAATCTTTTAGGATGTGGCACATGTTCATAGTGCATTACTCAGCAGGATATTGTGTGCTGGATTGTGATTTTGGGAATAATGTCATCCTTAGAAAAAAAAAATCTGGCCTATCCTCTAGTCCTCTGACTGTGCGTGAGTCACTGGCAAAGAGCATAGGTTACGGAAAGCATTGCATTAGACAGGAACCATCCCACTGTCCTGTTGTGCGGGACAGGCGCTCTGTGGCCGGACAGATGGCCTCACTGTCAGGAGTCAGTTTGGGGAGGGTGATGAACTCTGAGTGGCGGCTTAAGACATTACAAATGATCACAATTGAAATGACATCAGCTTTGACTGCCCCCAGGAGAATGAATCCCATTGGAGCCAAATTCTTCTACATAGTTGGGAAACACTGCTGTTTTTGTGTTTGATTGATTGTTTAGTACAGGAAAGGTGTGATTTCTTTAGCATGCTGTTTCATTAAATTAGAGGAATATTTTTAAAATAAATATTTCTACTTTTCTGTTCAATCTGTTTAATATCGAGTTTAGGCATAGGCATTTTTAAAAAATATTGCATTTGAATATTCAGGCTCAAAAATCGAATATTCGTTTATTTAAATGACGTTTAACGAAAAAGACGTTATTGAAGTTGCATTTTTTTTACATTTTTTGTCACCATTTCTGAACAAGTTTACTATTATACAATATACACAACAAGCTTACAATGTATTTTAAAGTTTTCTTTTAGTTGAAAACATTAAACCGCAGACCTATGTCTAAACAAAACATTTAAAAAAACAAAAGCATGCTCAAGCAGCGTGAATGGAAAAAAAAGCCTAATAAAGCAGATTGCGGCAGATATCAGACAGAACGTAAACACACTCGAGTCAGCAGATGATTATTGTGTTTATATTGTTTGTTTGTCACAACTTGTTAACACACTCCAACTCCGAAAATTTGAATATTCGTGCACACACCGAATCGAGTCCAACCAATAAATGGCACCACAGTCTCTAAAGAATATACCCAACAACACAGCTATGTTCAACATGAAATGGTTATTCACACGTAAAATAACTTATTAAATTTATAGTTTGCACTTTTTTATAATTTGACTCCGTACAGCCACCTCTTCTCGAGTAAATGATGTGTAGCATTTTAAACGTAAAGTTAGACATGACTTCATACAAAGTAATTTTAAAATTGTGACATCCAGGGCTGGAACAGTCATACATGAATTGGACAAAACTATAGGCCCAAGTCACCATGAAATCAAAATTGGCAATTCTTTTTTTTTGTGGAATATTGCTAGAGGTCAACCAATTTGATTGGTTTTGCCGATTAATCGGCACCGATAACCGATTGCATGAACAACCCTATTGGCAAAAAGTTGTGTAGATATTTAAAGATGGCCATCTTTAAGCATGACTTTTTGGATTTATATGATCGCAACACTTAATTGACATTAACCAAGGCTAATAAAAGTATTTTTCATTGTTACATTTCATCATTAACTTAAATTTTTACATTTTAAAATTGTATCTCTTGACCTTAAAGGGTTAGTTCACCCAAAAATGAAAATTAAGTCATTAATTACTCACCCCCATGCTGTACCAACCCCGTAAGACCTTCGTTCATCTTCGGAACACAAATAAAGATATTTTTGATTGAATCTGAGGGCTGGATCACTTTTCCATAGACAGCCTGAGGGACTGCCTCTTGACGGCCCAGAAAGTCATTAAAAGAAAAGGTTTAAATATTCCATGTTCCTACAGTGGCTCAACTATAACTTTATCAAGCGACGAGACTACTTTTTGTGCGAAAAAAAAACGTAAATAACGACTTTATTCGACTTTCCATTACTTCCCTATGGGCGCATGCGCGAGAACTGAGACGAGACCGTTCTTCTTCGACTACTTCTTGTTACCGGCTGCTCACCGCTTAGGAGTTTTACCGCCCCCTACCGTATAAGATGACGTACTGCTTGTAAACAGAACGCTTTGCGCCTCCGGCTATATCAGTACGTCATCTTATACGGTAGGGGGCGGTAAAACTCCTAAGCGGTGAGCAGCCGGTAACAAGAAGTAGTCGAAGAAGAACGGTCTCGTCTCAGTTCTCGCGCATGCGCCCATAAGGAAGTAATGGAAAGTCGAATAAAGTCGTTATTTACGTTTTTTTTTCGCACAAAAAGTAGTCTCGTCGCTTGATAAAGTTATAGTTGAGCCACTGTAGGAACATGGAATATTTAAACCTTTTCTTTTAATGACTTTCTGGGCCGTCAAGAGGCAGTCCCTCAGGCTGTCTATGGAAAAGTGATCCAGCCCTCAGATTCAATCAAAAATATCTTTATTTGTGTTCCGAAGATGAACGAAGGTCTTACGGGGTTGGTACAGCATGGGGGTGAGTAATTAATGACTTAATTTTCATTTTTGGGTGAACTAACCCTTTAATGCACTATGAACTACTGAATGAGCAAGGTATAATTAATAGGCTATATTATTTTTATATTAAAAAAGTGCAATTTTCATGGTTCTGTACTGTTTTCATTTTAAAGTTCAGTACTATTTTATGTGTTATGCTTGTTTTTATTCAGTGTCATTTTTAAAAACTAGGCTATAGCTAGGTTGATTTGAGCGAGGTTACCTAATCTTTATCAGTAAAATCGGCCGATCTCTAAATATTGCATTATTATAAATTTATCAAAGCACATCATTATTTTTAATCCAGGGTCCCTCATAACCTTTAATCAAAATAACTTCCTTATCTCTTCTCTGATGTGTGTGGCGTGAGGGTGGGATCAACATGTCACTCACATGAGATCCAACAATAGGAAACCACAACCATCCAATCAGTTAGGCTACTGATGGACAAAATCAAGTTGTTTCACTCAGAAATACGTCACAATAATAGGCAAGAAAAGACTATCGCAACTTCTGTTTCATGCTGACTTCCAAGTATGATCATTGAAATCTTAAATCAGAAGTTTCAAACCAGATGTTAGTCTGCGGCTTGTTCTTCCATTACAATAATGTGGGTACTGTGATAGCTTTACTTGATATTATTTAAATATGCCCAATTGTATGCCTAGTCATTTGCATACATTTGTCACACCATTTGGCACTGCTGAGAATCTGGAGAAGAATCCAGAGAATTTAAAGATGTTTGGAATATTTGGGACAGTTTTAGAAGCAGAACAGGTCCACCTGCTACTAGTTTAGAGGCCCTGTATTGAGCGAAACTGCTGTCTTCGGCTCACTGCTCTTCATCATGTCGGATCTAATGAGCGATTGCACACTAAATGACCTACGATAGGAATTAATTGAGTCAAAGTTTCTGAAAACACTGGGTCTCTGTGCTTGTTAAACAAATGAATTCTCAAAACAAGACAAGGATGAAGAATGTTAATAAGACATTGTTTTAGTCACACATGATTTATAGAAGTGTGCTTAATGTTTTAAATAGGGCAATATCTGTAAACATGTATCTTAATCTGAGCAAGTTTATAAGCAGGGATGAATGAATGGTTTCACATGTGATCTGTATGAAGGCTTATTTCATGCGAAACTGAAAATGTTGTCTTTTACCCACATCCATTTCATTCTAAACCTGTATTACTTTCTTCTGTGGAACACAAAAGGAGACCTTAGACAGAATGTCCTTGCTTTTACCAAACAATGACCAGGTAACAAAACTGATACATTTCAGTCCCATCATTGAAAGTCCTGAAACCAAAACTTTGAGGCTTTGAAAAATGTATAAAGACATTGTAAAAGTAATCCATATGAATCCAGAGACACAATTTAAGTTCTATCACTTCAGCTATTGTCTCTTCTAAAGACATTGAGTAAACTGTCCATTTCATATAGATTAGCCTATATACTTGTAAAAAAGCTGAAGCTTATGTTTTGGTTGCATGGACTTTAAATGGTGGGACCGAAATGTCTCTGGTTTCATTATTGATATTTGTTTCGCAGAGGAACGAGAGTCTTGTGGAATGACTTGAGGTTGAATTAATGACAGAATATAGGATCTGTATAGGATTTAAGTTAAATTACTCTGGTGGTGTTAAAATCTAAAATGTTGAGGGCTGCAACCTGAAAATCTGTGAGCTTTAGCGAACTAAAAATTATTGGGCTTGTGTGAAATGAGAACACCATGGGATCTGTTTGCGGGGTTGTACCAGGACAAAACTGCAGTTGGTGGTGCAAATGAACTGACACTGTGTGTCTCTCAGGAGTCAGGACTGCTCTAATTCCCATCTGCTTCTACAGGTCTCCACCATGGACACAGAGATGATGCCGAAATTCTCCTCAAAAGATGAGGAAATCGATTACTGGAAATGCTTGTCTCTCAAATACAAGAAGAGGTAAGCTGAAGTCATTAACTACTAAATATAGCAACTTGCTGAGCTTTGTTCAACTGTGCAGTTTGCTTTCACATAAAAACCACGGGGAGTCCGCTGTCTATGCTCTAACAAACAATCTGTATTTATTATTATTTTTTATTGGCCACATTCTTTTAGTTAAACTTTGGCCAGCTGAGGCATAATGATTGGTTCTGTGTTCATAGTCATACCTGCAATCACAAGCCCGGCATATGGTGAATGGCTGTAAATATGACTATAGCACTTTGTCATAGAAAAACAGAGAAGATGCCACAACATACAGAGCCTTTCACTGCTCCTGACAAAAGAGATGCACTGAAACACTGTGGAAATGCTCCACAGTTCCAGTTATTGTGTTGGGCATCTCATAATGTCATTTGTAAAACATGCTTAAAATATGAAGTTGAGCTCTTGGTTCCGTTATAGTCTAGCTTGATTTCCTTTCACAGTGCCTGAAGTGAAGAAATTGGATTATGTGATCAATTAAATAGTTTGTGCTAGTTCTCGTTCACAAGAACTATATGGTGGGAAATGAGTATATGTAGTTTCAGGCCCAAAATGCACTTTAATCAAGTACATGATTTGCCTGGATATCTTAGACTACTCCTTGGAACCCTTTAGGTGGTTTTATGCATCATTCTACAACCCGATGAATGCAGTTTTAAAGTTCACTCGGTAAAAACGGCCACCAACCAACGCTAACAGGGTAACTGATCCGACAAAACCAGACTAATGTACCCCTTGCTGTTGGTCGATCTGTGTTGGTGTAGTTTGAATTGGCCTTAAATGTACATGAAGGGATTCCATATTCATTCAATGTTTCTTACAGTAAGGAAATTGTTAAACTTAGTTTTGCCTTTTGCTTTTAGTACATTTTAAATCATTGTTTTAAAGTGCACTTATTTTGGTGTGTTGACTTGTGTACTAAAGCACATGTGAAGTACTTTTTTATAATTTTAACTGTAAATTTAACAAACTGTGTTTGTTATTCAATAGCCTGTGACGCTGGTATGGCAATGAACTTAAACACAACAATCATTCACTGAGACATATGCAAAAGCAGGGTTTAAAAGTATTGTTTTGGTGTCATTTAGCTCAGTCAGAATGTATTCTTGACTTCTTGAAAAGTGGAGAGTGATCTAAAACCGAGCTGGGAGGCAGTTGGTGCTGGCGTTAATGCTGACCGTGAGCTAGCTGGTGGTCTTTTTCGCTCTGAACTCCTACACGGTTTCAACATGTGCACATGCTCCTGGGCTGTGGTTTTACTGTCTCGGAGTCTTGGTGGAGCACAGGAAGTTCTTTAAATCCCAGGAATTTCCTTCTGAGGAAGGAGCAGAACATGTTTTCCTGGAAATAGTCACACAAACAAGTCTGCCTTTTTAACTCGCTCGACAGAACATCAAGCCTTAAAGACGCAAGCAAACACCCAACAACCCAAACCATCCTGACATCATGATTGGTGAGAAAACACCACTCGCATTAACTTGGTTTATATGTGCCTTTGGGGGTTGGTAAGATTTTTTTTATTATTATTTAACATTATAAATGTCTTTACCATCACTTTTGATCAGTTTAATGTGTCAATGCTGATAAAAAGGAAAAAAAAAAAAAACACTTGCTGACCCTCAAACTTTTGAACAGTAGTGAGTGAGTAATACCTCCAATATGGACTGAATGTGCATTTGAGCAGCTTCCTGTTGTCGAGTGAGTGTTTTGTGCTGAGGAGGCAGGCCGCACGTGTCTGGTATTTCAGGGAAGGAGGGAGGAGGACTGATTTAAGGTTCCCTCTGCACATTACACAAGGAGGCCTAAGGGAAGTGACCAGGGTTAAAGGGATGCGTCATGTCCAACAGCACCACATGGCTTCGGAAACGCAGTCTAAAAACAACCGGTACCCTGCATTCAGTCTGCTTAGCTCATTTCCTGCCACCAGACCGCACTATTCATCTCCAGCCGGTCTGTGACCCCTGACCCCTGACCTTAAAGGGTTCAAAGTGAACATTTGGCAGTGCAGATGCATGTAAATCTTTTCAACAACTGCATCATTTCTGGCCATGAGATGCTGCGATTCACTATCAAACAACAGGAACTGCTGAATTCTTCTTTGTGATGTGTGTTGGGTGACACAGTGTCGTGGATTTAACTGGCTGTCGCTTTTGGACCACTTTTAGGACCTCCAGTCTGAATGGCCATTGGCCACAGTGACTGTAGTTCATCATCTGCTTTAGCACCAGCTGTCAAGGCCTAAATGCTTGTGGCGTGTCAGCTCTTTGTTGCAGTCTGGGTGTCAATTTGCATTGCATAGTTAATGTGATGAATGTGCCGCCACTGTTCCAGATGGCTGTGGTGACGTGTGATTGTTTTATATGTTTGCGTATCTGCAGTTGTCATGACGCTCAGGAGGAGCTGCAGGAGTTTCAGGAAGGCAGCCGGGAGCTGGAGGCCGAGCTGGAAGCTCAGCTGGGTCAGGCTGAGCACCGTATCCGAGACCTGCAGTCAGAGAACCAGCGGCTGAAGAGCGAGGTGGACACACTCAAGGTAGACGAGAGCAGGAATTTCCTCGCTCTTTTGAAAGGACAAAAAAATGCAGCCAGGCTATTTGTGGAAACCAAGCTATGAAAATGGGTTGTTCAGAAATCATCACATTATTGGAGAGAATCTCACAAAACCGGTTTAGTGTGTCTAGGGCATATTTCATTCTAATACATAAAGAAAGACATAGTAAATTATATTTTCCTTATAATGAAGCCTATTTTGGATGCATTTTTAGAATATACAGTGCCCTCCACAATTATTGGCACCCCTGTTTAAAGGGTTAGTTCACCCAAAAATGAAAATTAAGTCATTAATTACTCACCCCCATGCTGTACCAACCCTGTAAGACCTTCGTTCGTCTTCGGAACACAAATAAAGATATTTTTGATTAAATTTGAGAGCTGTATAACTACCACATTGGCTCCTAAGGGACTGCCTCTTGACGGCCCAAAAAGTCAATGAAGAAAATGTTTAAATATCCCAAGTGACTACCGTGGCTCAACTATATGTTTATCAAGCGACGCGAATACTTTTTGTGCGAAAAAACAAACAAAAATAACGAGTTTATTCGACTATTTTTTTCTTCCTTGTAGGCCAGAACGAGACTTCCTTATAGATTTCCACGACGCATGCGCGAGAATTGCGATCTGAAGTGGTGTAAGCTGGTGTACGCAGATCGCAAATCTCGCGCATGCGTCGTGGAAATCTATAAGGAAAAATCCAACCTTTTATTCAAGTACATTACTTTGGTGGTAAAAATTTAGAAAAATAAAAACTTCAAATCCTGTGTCCCACAATTATTGGCACCCCTAACAATTCCGCTGAAAAATGTAATTGATTTTTTAAAAAATATATATTTTCTGTAGTTGCTAATGTTGGTCAGGATATCTAGGAACTTTTAATTAGTAATTCATGACTTCCTATTTCCCTGGGGTATAAATATGACATGACACAGAGGCCTAATTCTCTTACCCATTTGTCAACATGGCAAAGACAAGAGAACACACCATTCAAGTAAGGCAGATGTGTGATGACCTTTATAAGTCAGGCAATGGCTACAAGAAAATAGCCACTCACCTTATATTGCCCATATCTAAAGTTAGAGGAATCATTAAGAAGTTTAAAACAACAGGAACAGTGACAAACAAGGCTGAAAGAGGTCCCAAGTTTATCTTGCCACAACGCACTGTGAGGAGGATGCTAAGAAAAGTAAAAAAAAGTCCTAAGCTCACTGTCACAGAATTGCATCAAATAGTGGCATCTTGGGGTCACAAAATCTCCAAAACAACCATCAGACGCTCTCTACATGCCAACAAGATGTTTGGGAGGCATGCTAGGAAAAAGCCTTTTCTCACTAACACTGACAAACGTAAACGTCTGGAGTTTGCCAAGCGGCACTGGGACTTCATCTGGGATCGTGTGCTTTGGTCGGATGAGACTAAGATTGAGCTTTTTGGCAACAAACACTCTAAGTGGATCTGGTGTAAAACAAAAGATGTGTATGCCGAAAAGTACCTCATGCCCACCGTGAAGTATGGTGGAGGATCTGTGATGCTGTGGGCCTGTTTCTCTTCCAAAGGCCCTGGGAACCTTGTTAGGGTGCAGGGCATTATGAACGCTTTGAACTACCAGGACATTTTAAATAAAAACCTGATGGCCTCTGCCAGAAAGCTGAAGATGGGTCGTCATTGGGTCTTTCAGCAGGATAATGATCCAAAACGTGTGGCAAAATCTACACAAAAATGGTTCAGTCACAAACTCAAGGTCCTCCCATGGCCATCTCAGTCCCCAGACCTCAATCCAATCGAAAACCTGTGGGGTGAGCTAAAGAGGAGAGTGCACAAGAGAGGGCCCAGGATACTGGATGATCTAGAAAGATTTTGCAAAGAAGAATGGTCAAAGATCCCTCTCTCTGTGTTCTTCAATCTTGTGAAATGTTATAGGAGGAGATTAAGTGCTGTCTTGTTGGCAAAAGGGGGTTGTACAAAGTATTAACATCAGGGGTGCCAATAATTGTGGGACACATGATTTGAAGTTTTTCTTTTTTTAAATTTTAAATTTTTTTTTTACCACCAAAGTAATGTACTTAAATAAAAGGTTGGATTTTTCTCTTTTTTTGCATTTGGATTCTATGTTGTTTAAAAAAAGGGAGAATTTTTAAAAGTCCTCGACCACATCTTAAACAGGGGTGCCAATAATTGTGGAGGGCACTGTACACTTGCATTCAAAGGTTTGGCATCAAGATTTGTTCTTTTGAGAAATTGCTTTTATTCAACAAGGACGAATTAAATTGATCTGAAGTGATGCATTTTATGATGTTTATAAAAGAAAATGTCTATTTTTAATGTTTCTGAAAGAAGTCTCTTTTGCTCATCAACCCTGCTTTTATTTAATCAAAAATATAGAAAAATAACCTTGTATTGTGAAATATTATCACAATTTATAATAATTATTTCAATTTTAATATGAAGGGTCATTCCACCTCTGGAAAGATGAATGTGTATTTATGTAGAAGAAATGTGAAATTATTTTTGAATTTAGAGCTTTCTAGACTGAGAAAAGACCAAAAATGTATTTTTGGCTTATGTGGATGAAAGACACCAACTCCCAGAATCCCCTTGCTTCGCTGCCCTAGGAGGCCACGCCTACCGGCAAACGCGCAGTAGGTAAACAACAAGTCTAGGCTACTAGTGAGTCTCCGTTATGCGTCTGCCTGAAAATGCGTTTTGAGATCGCCCAAAATTGATTTCTAATGCAAAGCTGAATTTTCAGCATTATTACTTCTTCATTAAGTCTTCAGTGTCACATGATCCTTTAGAATCATTCTAATATTCCGGTACTGTAGGTAAATAATGGTTGTATTTCAGTTACGCAGTTATATTTTGGAATTTGTATTCCAGTAGTAGGGATGTAACGATTCACTCAACTCACGATGCGATACGATTCACGATACCAGTTTCACGATACGATTTTCTCACGTTTTTTTTTTTTAACAAATGAGATTTGAGACAAATTAAAAATGAAAAAGTGTCTATTTTATTATTTCTCAGACAAATTCTTTTTCATTTTGAAATATATTTTGTCAAATAATAAAACTACATTGAATACAAAATTCCCTTCAAATTTGTTTCTACTCAGTGTTTATGTCTGTCTGGTCAAGAGGCTGGACTCTGGTACCTTCACACACTAAGGAAAAGACTGTAAAATTAGTAGGCCTACCACACTGACAGGCGTTTTACATTGTAATAAAGGAAAGATTTGAATTTTGTCATAATTTGTATCATTAAACTATAAAGAGTTAAACAGATCACATTTTGCAAAATATGCCATAACCATCAACAAATTATTTAAAAAATAAATAAATCATTTATTTTTTAAATAATTAGCATTTAGCATCAAAATTTAGAGAAATAGATAGGAAAATAAATACAACACAAGGTTGCCATGGAAACACTGACGCACCTTGTGATCTCCGTAGCTCTCACACACTTGTCGTATTAATGACTTTTACATGAAAACGGAAGTGATGTGCTTCTCACGGTGGTGATTATTATTAGTCTACTAAGAGTCAAAATGCCGCCACAGCTCCGATTTGAACGAGTTAACATCTACGCTTGCCGTCGCCATGTGTTTGACAGCGCGTGCACAAAGTCTATGGCACACACTGGCGCGGCACGAGTGGAGCAAACCAAGCGTTTTCAGTTCATTACTTTGAGTGCTCACACAAGCTCAAGTTCCTAAGGAATGAAGTGAAAACACTCGCTAGGTTCGTGCCAGTGTGTGCTCGCTGCTATTGTGCCTGTAAAGAGGTTCACAGCTTCACAGTAGGTTATTCAGTAAACGCCCCTGCTGCTAAAAACGTGAATCGAGATTCGTTTAACATTTCAACCGACTTGAATCGTCACACATTTTTATCGATTTTTCAACCGGTTGCGAGTGAATAGTTACATCCCTATCCACAGTAGTATATATTCGGTAATCTAGTGAGTCACTATTAAGGCCTTGTCCATATTAATACATTTTGTTGAAAAATGCATTTTTCTCTCCGCTTGACATTTGAGAACGCTGCTTTTTCGACTGTGAAAAGGAAGGCTTTCGAAAACAATGATGCATTTTTAGTCATGAATCATTCAGCCTAGAACAAGAATGATGGAGATATCCGCACACACCTTTAATCTGCAGTTTTAACTCTAAAAGATCAGCACAGCCCAGTTTGAGAGCTGTCGAGGGTCTCGGTTAATCCCAAGTGCGTTGTAATTGGATGTTCGGATGAAGTGGAAGAAAAAAGGCTAATGGCTCAGCAGAAAAGTTTAGTAATAGCACAGTTGTTCCTCTAAGACCCTGACAGAAATATCGTGATAATGGCTTAAGTAGACACTTGATTTATACAGCTAGTTTATATTTAGGCAAGGTCTACTCACCAAAATAACATTTAAACTGCTTGCTTGTGGTGTCCCATTAACATGATGTTGTTAACATTATCAATTTGAGACACGTTTGCGTGTTTTTAGGTGATTTTTAGATTTAATCAGCGACATTTACAGCAATGTCAGAATCAGAACAAACGTGGATCTTTAGATGACGTTTTCCGGTGAAAATTATTTTGGTCATACTTCCAAAAAGAATAATCTGTGATTCTGAATGCCAGTATCCACTCCGACTGACTGACACCCTCACGCTCTCCTCAAACATTGTGTTCATCCACGCTGTGCTGTGCTGAAGTACAACTCGTGTAAAGTTGATAATTCTGCAATTGACTGCAATTGCAGATTTTGAACCGAGATGGTGACAGAGGAAAAACTGCAGACTGGAGCTTTAAGAAAAAGTATTTATAGCTGTTGTTTTCTCATCAGCCATTGTTAGAAAGTTCAAATATTTGATGAAGGTTGGGGACTCAGACTATGTCTCCCCTGTGTCCCTGACTGCAGGATAAACTGGAGCAGCAGTACGCCCAGAGCTATAAGCAGATATCCATGCTGGAGGACGACCTGGTCCAGACGCGTGGCATCAAGGAACAGCTGCACAAATATGTCAGAGAACTGGAGCAGGCCAACGACGACCTGGAGAGAGCCAAGAGGTACACGACAACATTGTTTTGTCATTCTGAGCTAACTTTGCTCTGATTTGATAGACTACTTTAGTCCCATTTCCAAATGGTCTATACAAGACTGGCTTACACGTCACTATTGTCCAACAAACCCTGATCAAACTACATGGAGCAAGTGTTGTGATAAAGTGATTATATACAATGATGATCTGGATTTGTGCAGGGCCACCATCACATCTCTGGAGGACTTTGAACAGAGGTTAAACCAGGCGATAGAGCGGAACGCGTTCCTGGAGAGCGAGCTGGACGAGAAGGAGTCACTCCTGGTCTCAGTGCAGAGGCTAAAGGATGAAGCTAGAGGTACTTTACTACATGGCTTGACATTAACTTTTTTGCTCACCCAGCCACTGTGGCTTGTGGTTTTCCAAAGTTACTAGCCACTCAGCATTTTCTCATCATTATGATGGGGAAAACTGCCATATAGATATTTTAAGTATTATCTCATAATTTGGCAGGAGGTTTATTAGGCTGCTGTCGCTTTAAGACCTAAAGCACGGATCCATTTTACTGTTACCACCTGCGTTTTCTTTCTCAACTGTTCACTTAAAACATAATTGACTGTTTACGTGAACACTCGGCAAGACTGGCATTTTGACATTATTTTGTGTGTATTTGACTAAGTGCAATAAGCAGCGAAAAATAACTCTGTTTAGTGCTGGGAGGCGGCTTTGTGCGCGCCCTTTGAGCAAAAAATTGTCGGGAATGAGTACAATTATGTGCAATATGCACAATATTCCCACACCAAAATTTGATCTGCCAAAGTGTTTAGTAAGGCTCAATTCCAATTCACCCCTTAGCCCTACCCCTCCGTTTTGCGCGTTCACGTCTAGGGGTAGGGTGTCCCGATTCTTCTTGAGATCGAGGGGTAGGGCGAAGGGGTAGGGCCACATAGCCCTCGAAACGGAGATTTTTCAGAGGCACACTCCAAACGGAGAGCTAAGAGAAAAGTTCACGGAATGCATCAGAAATCACCGGCGAGATGGATCGCAAACGGTTAAACATTTAAATTTAGCGCCAGATGATTCCACCACACACTTTATAATAACACTATAGTCGTTTAAATTAAGAAATGGTAATTACATTTCTGATCAGAAAAGACATACATTTCGAGGAAGGGATGTTATAATCATCATGTTTATTCAAAGTTAAGAGCAGCTGCTTGTCAGTTGTTGTCATGGAGAAATCCTGTACAAACTCTGTAACGGCAGAGCCATCGCTGACGACTGATGACGTATTGGGTTCATGAAGGGTGGTTCCATTTCGTAGGGGAATATTTCAACCCCATGGCCCTTGTAACTCCGTTTTAAGGGCCAAGGGGTACACTCGAAAACAAGGGATAGGGCCAAGGGGTGAATTGGGATAGACGTCAGACGTCACTGCTGAAATTCACCTGCATTTGGCATGTTTCCAGGTGTTAATGTCAAGCCCTGCTACAGCAGTTAAAGGCATGTACTGTAGCTGATACAAACTGACTCATTGCTTAGCTTTTCAAGGCTTTTCATTAAATGAGTAAAAAATATGTTGGGCAGAACTAGATTTTGCCAATTGGGAATGGATTGTATTGTAGAAGTGTCCCATGTAAACTAAATGAATTTGTTTGTGTGACTGGTCGCTGGAGGTGAGGAATTGAAACTCGTGTGGCTTTCGGTCGACCTTATTACGAGAGCACATAAATTTTGTTTTAAATGAGTTGCGTGCATAATTTATTAGAAACACAACAACGTTCCATAAAATTAACAGAAAGCAAATTTTGACTTAGAAACCATCAAAAATGTTGGAGTGAGCCTTAATAAACTTCGGGTAGAAGTCAAGGTATTCTGGACAGAAATCGAAACAAATCTCTGCTGACAGGTTTTTGTAATGCCGCCTCATCAAACAAACATGTTTTTCTGTGGAAATCAATATGTTTGCAGATGCTATCAAGGTGAAGAATTGTACAAAACATTCCATTTCAGTTTGTTCTGCTTTATCAGTGCAAAATGTGCTTGTTCACGTAGACTTGCGGCAAGAGTTGGCTGTACGAGAGAGGACTTCAGATGTTGTCAGGATGTCGGCCCCCAGCTCTCCCACACTAGACATTGATAAGACCGACTCTGCCGTGCAAGCGTCCCTGTCCCTCCCGGCCACACCTGTAGGAAATAAGACCATGGACCACCCTTTCATTGCTTCCAAAGGTTGGTGTTCTTTGTCATTGAGTTTATTAGCATCAACCAATAGCCAATTAACTGAACAGGCGGTTTCCTTTGCATCCGTTCAAAAATCTGCCAACAGTCTTTTCAGTGGATACTGTAATTGATACATTTTAGATTTTATTTGTATGATTTTATTTAAATAAAAATATCAACATTGTATTAGCCATTGATATTCATGTTATTTTAGCAAACTCCTTTAGCTGTCTGACTGATAGCTGTAACATTCTTGTTAACTTTTTTTCTTCTCTCCAAAGCGTTGACCAATGGCTATGGAAACTCTCCCCTCACACCATCTGCACGCATCTCAGCCCTTAACATCGTTGGTGATCTCCTGCGGAAAGTTGGGGTAATTTCTGAATGCTTTAATCATGAAACTGATCGGTGTGCGACACGTTAGCAAATGATGGCTGCATCAAAACAGATTCAAAATAAAATACTGATGGGATGTGTGTTTTTGTGCAGGCTCTCGAGTCTAAACTAGCTGCCTGTAGGAACTTCGCCAAGGACCAGGCGGCAAGGAAAAGTTACGCCACGGGAAATGGAAACCTCATCAACAGCAACGCAACCAAGTTCTCTCATTCACTCCACACAACGTATTTCGACAAGACGTAAGTGTTTGGATTGCTGTTGTCTGACTTTCACTGTTTGTGTATGAAATATATTTAACAGATATTAATCCCGAATCCTGTTATGAAGTACTTCTAAACAATGTTAATTTCATTTGATGTTAATTAGGGATGTAACGATACACAAAACTGACAGTTCGGTTTTCCCACGGTTTTGACGTCTCAGTTCGATTTAGAAAGCTAAAATTGCATGAAAAATGAAAAAAATGTCTTTGTGTTTAAATTAATTCAATTACAATTAAACGTTTCACAAGGATTAAAAAAAAATCTGCTAATGCTTTAAACTATATAGGGAGCCGCACATTACTATAACATTAATGGTTGCAGCCTAGATTTTTTAACCTAAATTCAGATGCTATTTATATATATATATATATATATATATATATATATATATATATAATAAACACATTGTATGAAAACATGTTTGTGCATTAACTTTACTCTATTGTTTTTACTCTAATTTGTTAATGAAATATAATAATTTACACAGTTGTCATTTTCATGGAAGATATTTTAAACATACATTAAATAATCAAGATATCATTAACAGATTAAGTAAAATATAATATATAGGCTAACAGTGCATTTATTTAGTGCAAGAGTTGAATGACACTGAATCTCTTGCCTGCTGAGGTAAATACAATGCTAGTGACAAGCTATGCTGTTTTATTGACGTCTTTCCGCTGCTGAAACACTGATTGAGCGATTACACGAGTTATGATGCCTTTCATTAAGTATACTGTATCTTTCAACATACCTTCAGGAAGAGATGGTCGCGTTTACTCGCGCGCTGCTCCCGCTTGAAATGAGGAGCCTAGTAAGCTTACAGCGATCTGTCACGCCACGTCAAAGAGCGCCAAAACGCCTTTTATTGTTTGAATTTCGTGATCAAAATGACAGAATTTGAAAGATTACACCTTGCTTATCAAAAGTAACAAAACACGGAGCTTGCTATTTGGTGTTAATGGTGGTTAGGTTGCAAAACTGAATTCGTAGTGTACTGTACACATGAGACATGGAGCCAGGCTGGGCGGGGATGGGGTAGCAGGGGGCGGTGCAGGGCGTGTTCGGTACGTAATGAGAGTATCGCGATTCGAGTCGTGATTGATTGTGTGTGACTACCATGAAACCAGAAAACCTTATGTCCATTTTGCACACAACAAACTACCACGAAACCGATCATGGTGTCCTCTCTGATAGTTGATGATAATAGTGCTCTGATCACATCCAGGTTAAGTGTGTCATGGCTAAAGCAGCGTGTAGCTTATCACCTCTTTTCACGAAAATATTATTGGTGAAAAGTTCTATGGTCTGATGTCATGGCATCAGTTATGAGTGTTTTGTGTTTATTGATAGTTTGCTCATGGCTGTTGTTCACAGGACTTTAAATGGACTGGACCCTGGTGCCCTGACCGCCATGGCTTCCCCACGAGCCGTGTCTCCTCCCGGCATGCTCCCTCTCAGCGTGTGACAGACATTTCACCTCCACACAAGCTTGGACACATGGAAATGGAGAGAGAGGGGGAATGTGTGAGTGTGTGCGTAAGAGAGACTGAGATGACGTGCCTCCTCCGCGTCTGACAGATACATGTCGGGCGTGGGGGTGCCGTTCCTGTGGGCGTCTCGCGCGGTTCTCTGGTTCTCACGAGGTCTCACTTAAAGCCAGCAAAACGACAAGGGTCCGAGTCGGACCGCAGCTTCAGCGTGATTGTTTTTAGTGAGCCGCACAATTTAAAAGATGTTTAGCAAAATATAAAAACGATTAAAAAGAATGAAAAGGGATTTTCTTTGAGGTGAACGTCACTGTATGCTGAACACAGATGAGTGTGTGTTGTATGAGTGTTTGGGGCATGTGTGAGATCTGAACGCCCCCTCAGCCTTGATTTACATGTTCACTGTTTTCAGGTTCAGTAAAGGGTCTTAATGTGGAGGTCAGCAGATGTGTTTAACTATAATGAATGCAAGAACAACTTCATGTTGCACAACTTCACCTACCTTTAAAAGCTCCTTTAATGAATTATTAACCCAGCTGGCTGGACACCAGTCTGCTTAATGAAACCTCTCTTTTAGGGCTTCAAAAGGTAGGTATGGTTTCACGACTGATTTCTGTATTTGCCACTCTGTACTTCCACAGTTCAAAAGTGTTCACTGTAAGATCTCGTGGTCATCATCACCCTGTATTGACACACAAACTGCTTTGACTGTAAATCAGTCTCTGTGCAACGCGACCGTCGTCACAGAACTTGGTCAGTGGTTGTACGAACCTCATTTCTATCCCATGTGCCTCTGGATCTGCTGGTGAGTTTGATATTCACTGTTTATTTATTTCTCTCAAGGAACGGAAGCCAAGCTTTGTTTGTCACAGTGTTTAAGTTCAGTTAATTTACGCAAAGCTTCAACTTCATGTATAGGAGCACTTGTTGGTGTTTATTTACCCCTTTGAGTCTTTGATTTCACACGCACTTTTGTTGGCCGTCTTGTTATATTTCATGTATATAGATTTGGAAACATAGCAGCGTTGCCCAGCCTGTAGATACTAAAATTGGGCTGATTTGCTGTTTAATTTATTTCAGAAAAATGTATGGCATGTTTTGACACATGGATTGATTTTTACATACTGTGCATTGTTTGAAAGCATATATCAAGATGTAAAATTGGTTGTCTAATATGCGCAAATGAATAAAGGGATAAAATGAGTGTTGAGTAAAGGTTTCTTTAATAATCATACATTAAACGGCAGTCTGGGAAATTCATGATATTCATAAAGTGTGATCAAGTCATCAATGTTATGCAATATGGTGTACGTCTGCCTTCCGAAATGGTTGACTAGCTATATTTTGACCTATAGTACCCAAGCTGAAACTATAAGACGCTTTCTATATACAGTAAACTAAGTGGATTTTTGTGTAAGTATCTACATTAAATTATAATCTTGGTAACAGGGTTGGCATTTTAAGAGAGTGACCTACTGACAGACATTAAACCGTTTCTTGAGTTCTCTAAGGAAGGACACTTGGATGGATGTCAATATTTGATTTAGATTAGTTAATTGTTGGAAGGGTAACAGGGTGGACACAACCTGTACTGTAAAGAACTTAATTTAAAGGATTAGTTCACTTTTGAAAACTTTTGCTGATAATTTACTCACCCCCATGTCATCCAAGATGTCCATGTCTTTCTTTCCTCAGTCGAAAAGAAATTTAGGTTTTTGATGAAAACATTCCAGGATTTTTCTCCATATAATGGACTTCAATGGGAACCGGATGGTTCAAGGTCCTAAAGATAGTGTTAATAACAGTTTCAGATGCAGCCTCAAATGTCTTTACACGACACCAGACGATGAATAAGGGTCTTATCATGCGAAACGATCGGTTATTTCAAAGCTTATTCCAAAAATGTAACTTTTCTAAGGACAAATGCTAGCCTTGCTATATTCTCTGAGGCGCGTTTGTAACGTCAGGTAATACGTAATTACGTTCAAAAGGTCACGGGCGACGTAGCCGGAAGTACAGAATCAAAATCGTCCGACATCGTTGTTTTTCCTTTTAATTCCTTTTTTTGTAAACGGTGTTTGAGCTAGTTTGCACGTTCAACCTATGCGTTCAACTTGTAAACACTGACTGTACTTTCGGCTACGTCGCCCGTGACCTTTTGAACGTAATTACGTAATACGTGATGTTGCAAACGAGCCTCACAGAATAGAGCAAGGCTAGCATTTGTCCTTAGAAAAGTTACATTTTTGGAATAAGCTTTGAAATAACCGATCGTTTCGCATGATAAGACCCTTATTCATCGTCTGATATCGTTTAAAGACATTTGAGGCTGCATCTGAAACAGTTATTAACTGTCTTTTGGACCTTGAACCATCCGGTTCTCATTGAAGTCCATTATAAGGAGAAAAATCCTGGAATGTTTTCATCAAAAACCTAAATTTCTTTTCGACTGAGGAAAGAAAGACATGGACATCTTGGATGACATGGGGGTGAGTAAATTATCAGCAAAAGTTTTTTCAAAAGTGAACTAATCCTTTAACCTATATTTATAGGTTCTCTCAGCTATTCTTTTAAAAGGGCTGCATGGTTTAATGTTGGTGGACTATAACCATCAAATGACCAGGTAGCCAAAGACAATAGTGATTTGTTTTGTGAATTTAACCTTACATCAATATCTTAAACGATTACCAATATGGGCAAAGTAATAAATAAAATATAATGTGGGCAAAATATAAATAATATATATCACCATGAAACTTCCTCAGTTGATTACTTGCACATATATGTAAAAAAAAAAAAATACGTTTTTGAAATTTTTGTATGTTTAATTATGCAAATTAGGCATTATCCCTGATAGCACACGTACATCACGGAGATGTCTATTTGATGCGTGTGTTTACATCTGGAAGAGTGTTTGCTCATCTGCAATACGTCTATAGGACGTTTCCTGTCAGATGTCAAATAGACGTTGAGAAGATGTCTTTAAGATGTAATGATTAAGAATGTGTGTATCAGATGTTAGTAAGCAGCAGATGCTTTCCAGATGAAGTAATCTTGACGTACTTGTGTTAACTGGGAATATCATTAAAAATGTGCAATTTTGCATATATTTTCGGTAGGTGGATCTGAACATATGATAAAGCCAGGTGCAACATTATTTTTCATTTTGTTTACACACAATATTTCAGGATATATACTTTCATTATCGTATGGAAGTCTCGTTTCTGGCCAACAAATCGTATGGAAGTCTCGTTTCAGGCCAAAAAGGAATAGTCGAATAAAGTTGTTATTTTTGTTTGTTTTTTCGCACAAAAAGTATTCTCGTCGCTTGATAAACATATAGTTGAGCCACTGTAGTCACATGGAATATTTAAACATTTTCTTCATTGACTTTCTGGGCCGTCAAGAGGCAGTCCTTTAGGAGCCAATGTGGTAGTTATACAGCTCTCAAATTTAATCAAAAATATCTTCATTTGTGTTCCGAAGACGAACGAAGGTCTTACGGGGTTGGCACAGCATGGGGGTGAGTAATTAATGACTTAATTTTCATTTTTGGGTGAACTAACCCTTTAATGTTTACGAACAAGAGGATAGTGCAAAACGGATTTCAAGTAGGCCTACAGACTCTCCAAGCACGGATTTCACCAGACGTTTCAGGGTGGTATGTATGCATTTTTTAAACATTTTTTACACACTAAGTTAAAAAAAAAAGTGAAATCATAATTTTTGAAATCAAGAATCTTTTTTAAATTTTGAGTCTATTTAAACATTCAATTCTTTCAAAGAGTCCGATTTATTCAGAAATTAAGCAATGAAGTGACAGGCGGTTATAAGTCATTTACTCAAATGATTCGTTCAAAACACTGAATCCGTGTTGCTCGCGCTGTGGATTTTGTTTTAGATTTGTTTTTATCGTTGGCGAAATCGAGCAATGACAGAAAATGCAAGTTACTTTATGTTAACACCAATTGTTTATTGAACTGTTTGCATAAAATCAACATATTGTCATAGTGCTGATTCAGGAAAAACAAACTCCTTAAATAAAAGTCCCCATTAAACCTGGAAACCCAAAAAGTTCTAACCCTGCGTGTGTGTGTGTGTGTGTACTGGTAAACCCTACATTATGAGGAAAATGTCTCCACAAAGATGGCAATATCCAAAATCATTGTCCTTGTGGGACATTTTAGTGTACATTTAAAACGGCTTATAAATCATACTAAATTATGATATTTTTATGTACAAAATGCAGAAAGTTTTCTGTGATGGGTAGGCCTAGGTTTAGGGTTAGTGCCCTAAATAATCATATTTTATTGCATAATTTCAACACAAGATGAAAAAAACATGTCATTTGTGACATGACAGGATGTGATGTCACAAAAATTAGATGTGACATCACATCCCGTTTATGATTAGTTTAGATGTCTTTGTCCGTGTTGCGATCGTATTTCAGAAGAACCACACTAGAGTTCTTTTGGAAGCTGAAATGTGGTTCTTGGTCTGCTTGTTTGCTGCGCACCAGGGTTCAGCATCCACACCTTCAAATAACCACACTAACAAAACAATCGCACTAGACTTGGTTTCAAACCAGACCTGCCAAGTGTGAACACCCTAAAACAAACATATGACACAACTGGAGGAATGTGCCACTTTACCTCTACAGCGTGATTTGACTACAGAAGAGCACTTGGATAAAGAAAACTGAGACCACACACATGCATACATTTTCTTTAATACATACAAATATATAAATAAGTTACTGATTTTAAAAAGCAGCGTCTATCCACAAGTTTCCGAGGGGCGCTCCTGTAAAAAAAATAAAGTGGGTGAAACTTCAGGTGACGCGGCGGAAGTAGCATTCCAATGGTATTTTGTGTGTTAGTTAGCAAAGAGGCTAGCTGTTTTTCGGAGAATTATTTTACTATTTAAAGACGCAAATCTTTATGAGAGATGTCGTTACGGAGCTCAGGGACAACATGTGCTGTTCGCGGTTGTATGTATAACCGGACTAAACTAATTCAGTGGCTTAAACGTGATTGTTTTGAACATAAGCTGAAAACGAGTGATCCTGCCAGAGCCCGTCTCTGATCCTGCCAACGACTGTAACGTTAGTTTCCATCACCTCCCAAAAGACGACGAATCTTTTTTTTAATTCTTTATATTCTATAAATTCTATCAGCATGTGATCAGCTGTTCGCTATTGATGTTACAGCTAAACTCAGGATCAAAGCCTGTGTTGACAGAATACCAAATGTGCCAGTATATTCAAGTAGCACATTCATTTATAATTTTGAATAAACTCCAAAGCACAATGACTAAGTGTGTATTTTTTTTATTTTAATTGTCAGCTCGCACATCTGTCTGTCACCATGCCTTGATGAGTATTGATTATTAATAATGTTATTATAATACTCCCAATCAACTACTGCGGAGGGTAAAGGTACTGTTATTTCACCCTTTTTAATTTCGTTGAGGTTGTGTTCCCACATCGTTAGCTAGATTGGATCGCTATAACTTGAATGACTGTCAACTGTTGAATGAACGAGTGTCAAGCATGTCAAGTTGCGCTTTGTTTACTTCCAACCGGAAGTCGCGCCCACTTTTGACGCAAGGCCTCATGGGGCGTAGGAAACTTGTGGATACAAAACAATTTTTTTTTATATATAAGATATAACATTTATCATTTAAGGCATCTAATAATAATAATAATAATAATAATAATAAACTTTGAATGACCCTGCCTTGTGTGTTTTCTACATTCATTTGTTCCCAGAACCACCTAATCTCAGAATCTACATCATTACAGTAATATGAATGTCAATTGCAACTGGCCTTTGTGAGAAATCCTGAAGTAGTTTAGAGTAAAAACAGAAATTGTATTTTCAAAAATGTTTTTGTGAGATGATCTGAAGTGATTACAGTTCCATATGGCACTATGAAAAGTCAGACGTGCAATTCTGGTCGGGTCTATTTACTACAGCAGTCCGGGAAATGGTATGCTTTATCTCTTGTGTACATAATCTATAGCAAATACAGCTGATTGTCCACCAATAAGAGGATTATGGGTAAATGCTAGAAGGGTGAGGGACTTTAAGGACAAAAATGAATAGCCTATGGTAAAATGCACTCATAGTGGTGTCTTGGCACACGTCACAAATCAGTCTCTCTGTCTCTGTCATTCCTACAATCCAAAGGCACTGGACTATA